ATGTGTCTTTGTTTATAGTTAAAGAGTTGAGATACTGTGAGAGGAATCTAGGTAACTTAGTGCGCCACCACTTAAGTATGAGCCAGCAGTGTGCTGCATCTGCCAATCCTAGACTACATCAACATAGGGATAGTGTTCAGATAACTAGAAGGGATTGTATTGCTTTACACTGTGTTGGTGAGGCCACATTTGGAATATTGTGTCCACTTCTGGGCACAAATGTTAATTACTCATTAAAAAATGCTGAGATTCTGGAAAGTGTGCAAAAAAGAGCAACAAAGATGATAGAGAATCTGGAGGTTAAATCGTATGAGAACAGTTGAAGGAACTAGATGTATTTAGCCTATGAAAGAGAAGGATTGGGTGGACATGACAGCTGTCTTCAAGTACTTGAGGGGCTGATACAAAGAAAAGGGGACTGACTTATTCTTTAAGGCAGTAGAGGCTAGAAAAAGAAATAATAGGTGGAAGCTTGTTAAAGAGAGATGTAATCTAGAAGTAAGGAGAAATTTTGTGATAGTGAGAGCAACTGATCAATGATAGCTTGCTTCCTAAGGTTTTGGGGTACTCCATCACTGGCGATTTTCAAAAATAGATTGGACAATCATTTGACTGGCATAAGGCTACTGCCTTGAGCAGTGGGTTCAACTAGAAGAACTCTAAGAACGCTTCCTGCCCTGTAATTTTATGATATTTGTTAATTAATGGGACTCTGGATTTTTTGTTGACACCTGGATTAGAGATGTTGTTAATGGATTTGCTATAGTTAAGAATTGAAATTTGGAACCAAACTCTGTCAAGGACCTTGGAGTTCTCATCTCTAATGATTTAAGTGCTAGAGCCCACTGTAACTACATAGCTAAAAAGGCATTAAGAGTTGTTAACCTAATCTTATGTAGCTTTTTCTCTGGTAATATCACACTACTAACGAGAGCATACAAAACATTTGCTAGACCAATACTTGAATACAGCTCATCAGTCTGGAACCCGCATTACATATCTGATATTAATACAGTGGAGAAAGTCCAAAAATATTTCACAAGAAGAGTTCTCCATTCCTCTACTAGTTGCAGAATACCTTATGCCACCAGACTTGAAATTCTAGACCTAGAAAACCTAGAACTACGTTGCCTTCGGTCCGATCTAAGTATAGTATATAAAATTATACATTGCAATGTCCTACCTGTCAATGAATACTTCAGCTTCAACCATAACAATACAAGAGCACACAATAGATACAAACTCAAGGTAAACCGCACCAAACATGATTGCAGGAAATACAACTTTAGTAACAGAGTAGTAAATGTCTGGAATACTCTACCTGACTCTGTGGTTTCTTCCCCAAACCCCAAAAACTTTAATCTTAGACTGTCTACTATTGACCTCACCCCTTTCCTAAGAGGTCTATAGGGGGTGTGTATAAGCGCACCAATGTGCCTACCGTCCCTGTCCTATTGTTTTTATTTTTCTTTTATTTCTCTTATATGTATCCATTTCATGTATCCGTAACTATGTTTATACTTATACCTGTTATAATTGCTTGACTAAATAAATAAATAAATAAATAAATAATAAAACTATACTTGTGATGAGAGGTTGCTTTCTTAGTAGGGATTCTATTTTTTCTTTCTTCTTACACTTTTTATTCTACTTTTTTGTTTTATTTTTTAGTTTTTAAAGAGATTAAAGTTTTTAGTATTTACTGTTGCTGCAACTTTTAATATACTTATTTTAAAAAATAGGTACTGACAGAGAAGCATAAAAGCCTGGTTCCAGTGCTCCGTATGGTATAGCACCTGGTTTCTTTTCACAGTCCTCCATAATAGCAGGCTCTTAGAAAAATAAATCATAAGTCATTGGTAATCATTGATTTTATTTAGCAGTACAGCTTATCCTCCTGAAAGGATGACAGTGTTATTGTGCAATTTCAAATGTGTAAAGTGTCAAGCTTGTTTTCCACTCTTAAGCGTTCAAAGCTGAAATCTTTTCTTTAAGCGATTCTATTTGGAGTGCTTACTGGGGCTGATGGGCACCTAGCTGGTTGCAAACTGCTTCCCTCAGCTTGAGGTGCCAACTTATAAGGAGTTACTTAACAGAACAGAGGAGGCAGAGTTAGCTGTTATTTAAGCTGTTACCATTACAAGTTGCAGTACACAACCAGAGGCACCCCTGCAGTTCCTCATGAGAATCATATTTTCTCCCATTTTATAAATGCAAATAGTAAAACTTTAAAATTTCAAAGATAATAAGGAACAAAATCAATATATCTTTAGAATAGAAACACTTACATGGGAATAGATATATAGGTAGTCCTCAACTTGCAACCGCAATTGAGCCCAAAATTTTCATTGCTAAGCTAGGCAGTTGTTCAGTGAATTTTATGGGTTTTTTTGCTACATTTGTTAAGTGAATCACTACAGTTGTTAAGCAAAACTAGCTTCCTCCATTGTAGTTGCTTTTTAGAAGCCAGCTAGGAAGGTTAAAAATGGTATCATGCGATCCTGAGCAGAGCAACTATTATAAATATGTGCCCAATTGCCAGGTGTCCACATTTTAACCACATGACCATGCAGATGCTGCAAGTGTGAGAACTGGTCATAAGTCATTTTTTTCAATGCCATTGTACCTCCAAATGGTCATTAAACAAATAGTTGTAAATCAAGGATTGCCTGTAATTTTTTTAATCAATCCATCAGAATAGAGCTAGAAGGGACTTCTAGGTCCAACCCTCTGCTCAAGCAGGAGAACCTATACCAATCGCTTCTTAAAAACCTCCAGTGATGAAGCACCTACAACATCTGACGGCAACCTGTTCCACTGGTTAATTGTCCTCACTGTTAGGAAATTTCTCCTTAGTTCTTCTCTTCTTGATTAGTTTCCACCTATTGTTTCTTATCCTGCCTACAGGTGCTCTGGCAAACAAGTTAACTCCCTCTTCTTTGTGGCAACCTCTAAAATACTGAAATATTGCTATCATGTCACCCCTAGTCCTTCTTTTCTCTAATCTAGCCAAACCCAAAACCTGCAACCATTCATGTTTTAGTCTCTAAATCTTTAATCATATTAGATGTCTTTTTTGCACTTTTCCCCACAGTGTCAACAACTTTTTTATAATGTGGTGACCAAAACTGGATGTGGTATTCCAGGTGTGGCCTTACTAAGGCTTTATAAAGTAGTACTAATACTTCACATGATTTTGATACTATTCCTCTGTTTATACAGCCAAGGCTGGTATTAGCTTTTTTGGCTGCTGCTACACAGCTGGCTCATATTTAAGTGATGATTTTTTTTTTTTGAAATCATTTTTATGGTAAATTAAAAAATAATAATTTTTTTATTTAATAGTTTTTTAAAAGAACCTCGTGAAAATGATACCTCAGAGAAAAGCACATGCAAACCTCTGTATAATTAACAATTACATCAGTGGCTTTTTCAAATTACAATGCTTGCTTTTTGCACTGAGGAAAAAGCCAATGGAGGTAAATAAGATCATACAGCAGCTTTTTCCCATTGCAAGTAGGAAGTGATCACAGATGAATTTTTCAGAACTTTTCTGTGACTTTGAAAACAGTCAAAAATATTTGGGGGGGGGCATCATTTCGTCTACTGCATTATTTCAAATAGCTAAAGCAAAATGCACAAAACAAATGTATTGTTTACTTTTACACTAACCCCACTTGCTGGATTAATATAATCACTTGCAGTTATGGTTCTGAATGCAGCTAGATTGTTCTTCTTTGTATGGCATGGCAAAATTTCAAGGAATGTGTGAAGAACTTTGGCCTTAGTTCAGAACAAGCTTGCGGCTGTTTGCTTTGGTTCTTCCCACCAGAAGACAAGGCTAACAGAATACAGACCATCAGTGGATTATTTAATGCAGGTCTAAGAGTTTGGAGTGAGGGAGTGATGGGAATTTTTTTTTCATTTTTTGATCATGTCATCAGCAAGACTGAGTGTTGTTGGTCACAAAAACCAGCCAATTTGGTAGGGTTTCTCAGCCTTCCATCCTTCCGAGGTGGGTAAAATGAGGAGCCAAATTGTTGGAGGCAATATGGTGACTCTGTAAACTGCTTTGAGAGGGCTGTAAAGCACTATAAAGCGGTATATAAATCTAAGTGCTTTTGCTATTTCCCCCAAGTTTCCAGAATATTTCCTATATTTATGCTGATCTATGACCTTAATGAAGATTTGATTTATTTCCTATACCTTTTTACCTTGTTTTTTTTTCTCAACTGCAAGGGTTTTTTCACAGATTTTCTAAAAATGGCTGTCACTCTCCAAGTAAAGGTGATGCTAAAGATTACAGTAGTACTTTTATTTATTCTTGTGTTGACCTTTTAAATCACTCAAAAACTGCCATTCTAGTGTATTGTTCAATTTAAATACATGTCTTGTGCTTACAAATCATTTTAAAAACCAACCATATAGTAAATATAATCATTAAGTGCAGTGAACTGCATGATGATCATCATCTGTAGTTAACAATAGCAATAAATACAGAAACTCTAATAATAGACCAGGAAATCTTTCAAGGGCTCATTTTAGGAAACATAATGTATGCAGTTCACTAAACAGCAGACGCAGCTAAGGAATATCACCACCATCACAGGGCCAGGAAGGAACAAAAGAATCAGCATTTTAAGAAAATCTCTAAACTCTGCAAAACTGCAGAGGATATTTAAAGAGGGAGCAATCCTCCTTCTACTAATCCCATGAACACTGAGTATGCTTAACTGGGGGTGGGGGGGAAACTTGAACTGCAGTATGCTGAAAAAAAGGGCCTGGCTGCTTAACAACTTGGCTGGGGGACCTTCCATACTCTAATGTTTGGTTATAATCCTCCCTTGTTTGCACTTTGCGTCTCGGCTCTTTGCCTTAAGGTTGTGAGTAACCAGGGTGGAATGCACACAGAAGAGTTAATGAGGAAGATCCTCAATGCCACACTTCCTGCTGCTCTCCATTTCTCGTCCTGCCAGAAACAGGAACTAGGAGGAGTCCTAGACGAGGCGTTTGCCCTGCCTGTGGACCGGGGCTGGGCATGCAACAGGCGGGAGTACAACCTGTTTAACGCACCCCTGGGTTCCTGGGTTGCGCCGCTGGTCCCTTTCTCCCCTTGTTTTAGTGTGAAAGAAAGGGAAAAAAGGGAGGCTCCGGAGGAAAAACGCCGGATTCCGCAGGCTGTTTGCTCGCGCGTTCGGTCTCCTGGACGAAGCGACCCAGGCAGCGTCCAAATCCGACGCGTCAGCAAGAACGTCTGGCCAGCGCTCTCGCTGCGAAGCGAGCCTTACGCGATTCCCGACCGCCTTTCTCCAGCGCCTGGCAATGCCCGCCGTAGACAAACTTCGCCTAGAAGACGCTCTGCAAGATAGTCCGCAGGTATCCGATCCCGGACCAGGCTTGAGTCCACCTGATCTGCGGTTTGGGAAGGGATGGCGCAGCAGATGCCGTGCAAAAGCTACCTGCCATCCGGGCGAGGGCCAGGGCCAGGGCCAGGGCGGAGAGGGGTAAAAGGAGAGAAAGGTTGGCGGTAGTGATCGAGAAGACGCGGTTTAGCTGAGCTGTCTTTATAGGATGGAGCAAATCTGAGACTGATTTTATCCTTTCGCAACAAGCATAGGAAAATTACGTTCTGCAAAGACTGCAGTCTTTCCAACTATTATTCAAATGATACTGTCGCGCCTTCTTCCTTCTGTTCTATTTTCCTCCCTTTTGTGGCACCAAGAGAATAACAATATTATTTACACTGAGCAAACGTTATCGCTAAAACATTCAAAGTGCTTTGGAGATCAGAGACGTGCGCTGCAGCACATAATGACAACCCAGACTTTAGTATTTACGGATCCGGTTCACACGGACCATATAAAAAAAGAGCAGAGGTCTTAACAATCGTAATAAAAATAACGCTCAGCCGGATACTGTACTGTGAAAACACCCCTTCGGTGCAGTTGCTGTTAAATGTCTCTCATCTCAGGTTACAACTTGGAAAGGAAGGGGAGCATGGAAGGGTTAACAAGGACTCGAGGCAATATACTCTGAAAATATTAATGAGCTTTTGGATGGAGGAGGTGGAGACAGGAAGTACTGCAGCTTTATTAGTGTATGTTCCAATTTGACAAATCTAGGTCACTGTGAAGAAAAGGGAGGAATTTTGCAGGAAAGAAAAATAATAACACTACCTGAAAGCAACTGGGGAAAAAAAAACAATGGTTTGGAATGATAGGGGTTAATTAAGGTTAAATATTGAGAGTCTGCAATTAAAAATTATTCAGTGTGGAAGGAGGCGATTGATTGTTCAAGGCTGGTGAATTTGGGGCCTTGGTAAATTCTTATGGTCAGTCAGTTGCCTCTGTTAGCAAGGACAAAACGACTTTATTAGCAAACATCCCTCTCCCTTTTCTGGTTTCTGATCTTTGTTAAGCATTGCAAAGGGGTATTTTGGTTTATGGACAAACAAAGCAATATAATGTGATTTATCCAAATGGATGCAGGTGCTTAAATGTCTTGGATGGTTCCTGATTATTTTGTATCAAGTGAACTAACTGGACAATAAAATGAATGTAAAACAATTACCTTTATGATTGGGAATTTTTTTTTAGAACTCATCACTCCCACAATTGCTGAAGTTCTGGTGTTAATGCTTATTTATAATTTATAAAATGCACATGTTTCCTTGATTTGTAGATTTAGATATAGTTGCGTAGCTACCTGGACACAATTTCTTTAAGTGAAAAAGTGTTCACAGAAGTAACCTGGAACTTGAGATAGTCCAGAAAAATTATAAAGGCCTATCACTTTATTGTGTTAGTACATATTGAGATATCTGAGATGTAATACTTTGGACTAATAAACAAATTTATTTTTATTTTGGGATAGTTAATAAGAAACAGTTCAAAGTGAAAGCACACGGAGGACAAATTGCTAGTCATCCAGTAACCATGGCCCTCTGTGGTAACTAGACTACACTTCCTCATTCTCATTATGGCTTTGAAGGGAGTTGCCAAAATCTGCAAGCATCAATTGCACAGTGGAATCCTCATGGCCTGAATCTAACGTCTGTATTTGGAACCCATGGAAGGCCCCTTACCCATTTCGTTCCACTCATACATGCTTGCACATTTCATATATATATAATCATTTTTCCAAGGAATGCCATCTCCCCCAGCATGTTTTCTTCAATATGTGTTGAATTATAATTTAGATCACCCATGTGGATTAACAGTAATAGAGTTGCCCTTTATATTTGAACACTGGATGAATAAAAACTGAAGGGGCTGGTGTGGGTGGGTTTAGCAATTCAGAAAATCTTTTCTTTTAAAAATTCACATATTTTAATCATGCTAACTTTAGTTTGCAAACTTCTATCAAGAAATATATTTTGAAAGTTATTCATTGACAATAACTATGCTGCTTAGATGTTACTGTGCAAAACAAAACTTAAATCCAACTCTTTGTTCTCTCTCTCTTCAACAGTTGAAAGTTTTCAGTGTGAACACAGAAATGAGTCTTAGATTATATTCCCCATATTCTTTAAAAAAAATGGCCAGAGGATAAACAATAATATTTAAAGGGGATATCTAATTATCACACCCCCACAGACATTGATAAATACTAATTTCAAATAACTGTGCATATCTAACACATACCATCAGATCTCTTATAATGGGACTATTACTTTACAGAAATAGTTTGCTCCATAGTAATTTGAGAGCTGTAATAGGGTATATGTTGTGTGGAATTCCCATAATTGTGAATATTTTGAACAGTAAAGATTTCCTAGTCAATATTCCAAAATGCATTTTGTTGTTATTGTGGCAGGATTTTTTTTATAGTTCTGAATTCATTTTGCTTCTTTGCTAAGAATATCCCTCCATTCTAATTTGCCTCCTATTGTTTTGATTTACCTGATAAGAAAAAATATTCCATTGCGGTTTTAAATAATTCCATTACAGAGACAATCAAGATTCCAAAATGGGGTTATAGGGATGTGGTGGGGAGCATTGATAGCTGTTTTGATCAGAAGAAAAATGTCAGATTCCATATTTTGACAAGCATCTTTATTAGGCTAATTGCTGTGCAGCTTCTTCAGAGCTATTCATGAGGCCATATAAAGCCCTCCCACATGCCTCCTAAGTGGCAAAATCCATAGAAATGACCCTCGTCCCAAATTAGGCTTGCCAGGAACTCCAGTACAATTCTTAAGATTTAGGGGGATGAAGAATCAAACCATTTGTAAAGATTATACCAAAACTGGTATTCCACAAGAAAACAATGTATTTTTCCACTTCCGGTTTGCAGGGGTTCGGCGGCAGGCAGGAATCTGCGATCGTGCGTGGTTTCTGCCTGGGCTTGCCGCTGGAGCGCCCTGAGCCAGCTGGCTTCGGGGCTAAGCCACCCCGTAAAGGTGGTGAAGATGGGGGAGAGTCCAGCAGGGTCGAGGAAAGCCGCATCTTTCCTCCCCAGCTGGCTAAACTCCCTTTCCCGAAGGCGGTAGGAGTGGTGGTCAGAAATGACTGCCTCAAAGAAGCTCTCATCTGGAAAAGAAAGTGCAGGAGGAAGTTAAGAAGTGAAAGTTTTGGCTGACCGGGATAAGAAGCAACAACTAAGGTATCCTGGTATTTAAATTTTTAAAAAGATACATCGCTCCCAAAGAAGATTCGGAAGCAACAAATGAAAGTGAAAAGGGAAAGCTTTTTTTTCCACTCTCCTTCCTTACGTTGATAGCGAAGAGAGATGAATGAGAAATCGGAAAAATCCACTTTGGCATCAATAGGTAATTAAACTGGAAAACTAAATGCCAAGCGGACAATAAAGATTTCTGAACACTAAAAAAATATATATTTTTTGCTGTAAATGGGAAGGGAGAGGAAAAGAATAAGAGCAAGATTTGGAAGGAGGAGGCTGCCTGGAATCCAAAAGAATCTAAAGTTAAATCTTAACAAGACTTCTAAAAGATACATTTTAACTGGAACTTTGTAACTAAATAGTAACCCCAGGAAGAAAAAGTGAAAAAAGAAGAAAGTGTTAAAAGAAACAGCTTGTGTGTATTTGGATTGCTTGGTGACTTTGGGACTTCTGGAAATTATATTTGAATGATTAAAAACACTTGGGTAGTTTAACATTTTTTTACAATGGCATCACTTCAGTTCAGTGGATGAACTGAAAATGGAATTTAAAAAATATAAAGAAGAGGAACAAGAAGGGAAGGGCTCTCTTGGCTCCGTTTTTCAATTCTTAGAAATGGCGATCTGTACCTACGAGAAACTACAAGAAAAGACTGTGCAACAAGAAGATTGGGACAAAGAAGAAGCCATCTTTAATGAACAAATAACTTTACTTGGGGAAGAAAGGGGAAAGGGGAGGAAAGAGAATGGAGAATTTAAGACCTAAAAAAACAACCCAAAAAGGGAAAAATAAGGTGAAAAGTGGATATAATGTTAGAAAGCAACAGAAAAAGGGAACACAGAAGAGGGAAATGGAGGTGGAGAGACAAGGGGGTAAAAAGGGCAGAGAGAAGCAAGGGAGGAAGGAAAGGAAGAGAAGCTACAAAGGTTTGGAGCAAGATATAAAGAAACAGGACTTATTCAGAGATAATGGGTAAAAATATAACTGAAAATGAGATTCTGCAAAGGTACATAAGATTGTATTGTTATACTTGTATTAGAAATAATGTTAGAAAATTGGAACAACATATGATTAAAAAATGGGATAAAATACTCTGTAATTCAGTGAAACTTTTGTGAACAAAATAAATGAAATGAAATAAATGAGAGAATTGAATTAGGAAGGAATGGGAACACTTTAATTACATAATGTTTTAAAATATAAGTGAAATGGGGGGGGAAGTAACTACACAAAATTTATAAGTGTTCCCATAGAAGCATGATACCTATTTGAAAAGTAATGTATAAAATGTTTAAGATTTAAATGAATATTAATATTAACGCTAGAATTGAATTGGTATGGATTGTTGTTTTAATTATATTATATACTTAAAAAAATTTCTCTTTTTAAAATATAGTGTGTAGCTTTAGAATGTACTAAGCAGAATCCGAATGGAAGTTATGTATTATATTAAGTGTTATAAATTTAGGGGAAAGATATAAAGGCATCATACTCCAATCAGTGATTCCAGGAGAAATTTTGTTTAATGAGAAAAGATAATAGACAGCTGAAACAGGACAGACAAAGAATATAAGTATAATTATCTGAATTGAGATGAAATAAATAAAATTAAATTAAGAAAGTTAAAAGAGGGGAGAAGCCATATAGAAAATGTAGAATGGTAATAAGATATGGAATGGTATATAAAAATGAGCATGAACTTGAATTTGTGTCTGTACGAAGAGATATAACCCGGGATCAAGCTGCTTTCAAAAAAGATGTTTTATGTTTTGTTTGTTTACGTTTGTTTTTAAAAATCAATAAAAAAATTTATAAAAAAAAGAAAACAATGTATTTTTAGACACTAAATACAATAAAAAATGAACAGATTGAAAGCAATAAAATTCACATACACCATGATATATTTACAACTACAAGAAAAATAACATGTTTACCATCATTAAATGTACTATCTAATTTACTGCCGTTCTCTGCATTCGCTTCACTTCCATAAATCATCTCACTTTATTAAATAAACAAGTGTTCAGATCCCTCTTAAATCATTTGTCCAATGAAGAATGAAGAAGCTTCTCAAAACATTCCAGGTTTCAGACATAGAACATGATCAAATCCTTCCTCTAAAATCTCTAAATACTTTTTATCTGAAGTTGCCCTGTGTATTAACATAAACTGTGCCTTAATTTGTCAGTAATCATTTGGTAAATCCTACATAACTAGTCATTACAGTACATAATGGTTGAATGTTTTTTTTTTGTTCTCCTGACTATGTTGATTCCCCTTTCAGTGTCCTCATTTGAAGCATTTCCCGAGATTCCTCCTTAAAAATTACACAATCATTCTCTAATCTGGTATCCTCAGGAATTTCGATTAAAGCTTCCTTTTTATCACCCCAAAGCTTCTCAATTTATCACAATTTCCAAATATTCTTTCTTTGCCTCCATTCCACTTTCCCTTATTCTCTGGTGAGAAACTGCAGTGACCAGTTAATAGACAGCATTACCTTTTCATGCTCAGTAATGTGCTAATGCAAATAATGCAAATTGGCATACGGAATGTTAAGATAGGTATATGCTCTTATTATAATATTTGGCCACATAATTTATTACATTTTAAATTATGTCAACCCTATATAATGCAATATACATTTCTACAACATATAAATGAAAATAATATAAACATACTTTTGGAAATAAAAACCTCCTTCACAGTTACAGTTGTCAGGAAAAATCTTTTCTAAGCCTAGATCAGTTTGAAGAAGAAATTCTTCATCTGAAGTTAATAGAATGTCTGAATGGCCCCTAAGTTCCCCTTAGAGTTTTTAGTTTGAAGAGGTAAGCCACAATAGACATCCAAAACTGAATAGGTTAGCTGGTCAAACCCTTCCATATTACAATAAACTGTATTTAAGCATTTATTCCAAATCTGGTATAAATATTTATTATCCCACAAACATGCTAAACAAGCTTGTGACCTTTTTTGCACCTTTCCCTTTCATAAGTGACTATGCAAGGGATTTTCGCCAATGCAAGCAGCATTTTCAAAACATTTATCTCAACATTTCTCAACCTTGGCCATTTGAAGAACTGTGGATCCAGACTTCAGCTGTCTTAACAATTCTGGGAGTTGTCCACACGGCCAAGGTTGATAATTATCTATCTGATAATGCCAGAAGCCAGAGTCCTCTAATAAATAGAGTCTGGTTTTACTGTGGAATTTATTCCTTCTCTATATAGGTAACATCTGCTAGATTTAATTCTACAAGAAAAGACTGTGGGTGGTTACTAGTTCCAGTGGCTCTGTGTACAATAATAACAATTGTTGGGTCACTGGGCCTACATCCCACTTGTGAACTTCGTCAATAATTTGATGAACAGAATTCTGGATCACAGAATCTTTGGCAGAATGATTATGTCTGCTGAATGATTTTTTTTTAATAATTCAGGTTTTGCTGATGGAAGAAAAAAAGATGCGAGAACTTCTGAATGATACCTTTATTCTAGATTTCATTTATATGTTTGTTTTTAAATGCTTCAGACCCGTTCCTTGCTGAGTGTATTTGAAGAAGATGCAGGAACACTCACAGATTACACCAACCAACTGCTTCAAGCAATGCAGCGAGTCTATGGGGCACAGGTAAGTTAGTTTCAATGAAATACACTGGGTATTTTTTTTTCCTTTCCTTTTCTAAAATTATTTTTAATTTTTTTGTACTTCCTCTTACAGTTCAATCTATTGTTAATACAGGTAATCCTCAACTTTTACAACAGTTCATTTAGTGATGGTTCAAACTTACAACAGCACTGTAAAATGACTTATGACCATTTTTACACTTACGACTGTGGAAGACGCATGTTTATGATGTTTGCAGTGTCTTGGGGGTCACATGAACCCCTTTTGTGACCTTCTGACAAGCAAAGTCAACGGGAAAGCCAGATTCACTTAACAACCATGTTACTAACTTAAAAACTGCAGTGATTTACTTAACTGTGGCAAGAAATGTCATTAAATGGGGCAATACTCATTTAACAAATGTCTCACTTAGCAACAGAAATCTTGGGCTCAATTGTGGTCATAAGTTGAGGACTACTTGTAGTTGAGTGGTGATTTGAGGTAGGGCCTATTCCGGCCCAGAAATTTTGGACATCAATTTCCGTCAGCCTGCCCAACATAGATGCTGGCAAGGAATTGTCAGAGTTGTTGCCCAACATATTTTGAGGGTATAAGTTGTGATTCCTAATCTATTTATACACCAAGTGATTTGGTCTTTAGAAACTTCATCTTCTGAGGTAAAAGAATAGCTTTGCTGTTATTGATCATTGTATGCGAAAAAGATGTTACAGAAATAAAGGAGCCTTTTAAATTTTTACATCTTTGTTTTCTTTACCTTGATCTCTTTGTGTATACAAAGTCCAACCCTTCCTACTGTTTAAATATGAATTCTTTAAAGTTTAGCTGTGGATTGTATACCATCCTTAAATGCCAGGTGGAATATCTGAAGCTCAGCATTTTATGGAGCACCTCTCCCTGGCCTCCTTGGACTTGCATCTTATGTCAAGAATATTTTCATCAGAAAAACAATTTATTAACATATTTTGAATTACTGCAGAGATAAGTGTTAGTGGTTTTGCACAACATAATTTTCTTCATGATTATTTGAAAAATGTGAAGGCAATTGTTCTTTGTAAAGTATGTAACATTTGGTAATAGATTTCAGCTGCAGTGTGAGGGCAATTTTTATTGGTCTTGCAGAGCTATTTTGTGAATAGTATAGAAATTAGCTTTATTAAAATCATTGATGTAAAAGGAATGAAATTGCTGTGGCTTTAAAACAAAGGTGATTTTGCTGAAAACTTGTGTATTTTTTTTATGCTGCCTTCTTTTTTTTCTTCCTACATAACTGGGAAGACCTTACTTGTATGTCCTCTCACTTACTTGAAAAGCTGGCCTGTCATGTATAAATCCTGATTGATTGGTTACCACTTTCCAACTTATAGCTTCAAGCTAATTGGTTACCACTTTCCAATTTATAGCTTCAAGCTAATTTCATTAGAAGTTGAGTCACATTTGTTTTTAATTGTGATCTAAAATTCAGGCATAATGACAATGTTAAAAAGCAGGACTTGTGATTGTATTGGTGTTTTATTACCACAATTTGATCTGTAATCTTTCCTCATTTGTGTAGTGAAAATAGCAACAGGTAACCAATAATGAGCAGTGTGCTAAAGAGCACTGCCAATTTCTGTTTCTGTTTATTTAGGAAGCAGATTGCAGGAAATCCAATAATGCATGGATTAATGTATTCATTTATTAATATGTTCTTTGGGGACAGAAAATTAGTACAAGAGCCTAAAATCATACAATCTGCATCCAATTCAGAGATATGCTTCTAAGGAATAATTGTTATATAGATTAGAAATAGAATAAATACAAATAGTCCCATTTGAGGGGAAGCCTATGACTGTAATACAAAATTGGGAGTCTTAGATTATATTTTTTAAAGTCTTGGCTATGTCTAGAGGCTCATTTGTTTCTTTGACAGAGTTATAATCTGTTTTTTGATAAGGAGCTATGGTGATTGTAATGTGACCTCCCATTTTTTTTAACCACACCAATAAGTCAGGTTGGGCTGAGAGAGAGTTGACAAATTCTCCCATGGATCTTCAGTAGCTGAAGGCAGACATGACCCTGGTTACAAATATTACCCAGTCCTGACTCTACATAGCTGGATAGAGTCTTCTTTAATAGTTGGCTTTAATGTGAATTCTCTTCTTTAATAGTATCCAATAAAAGACATTGCCTGAGCAACATCTTGGCCCAATCTGCCACTTTTTGCAATAGAGCATGTCATTTAAAGGCAAATGCAGTCCTTCTTTGGAAACAGTTGTGCAGTCTTTACATTGTAAATCTTCAAGTGGTTGTAAGAGTCAGTAATGAGACACATTCTCTCGTTATAGAATGAAATGTGCCTGGCAACACAACAGCTTTCCAAGCATCTTCTTGCCTATGAAAAACAGGTATGTGCAGTACAATCTTTTCCTGAGCAATTTCCACATTGGGGAGATGAAAAGTAGACAAGAGTTTTTAACCTTTCCCTAGTATTTTGCTTGATGGTCTGCAGAGATTACAAGGAGACTAACTTGTTCTGACAGAATTCTGGTGCCTGAATTTCTTCGTTTGAAATGGCACATGGAATTGATTCTTAAAACTCCAACAACTGTGTCACTTGTGATCATTTCTCTATTCACAGTAGTGGTGAGGTTCCGGAGATGCTTGCAGTGAAGGTAGAAAATGCCAGGATGACAATCAGAGCCATACAATAGAAGCTTTAAAAAGGAGTACAGCTTCAAACCAACCTGTCTTGACTTTTTGCATCCCTTTCTAGAGACCCTGGGAGGCACATGTGTCCCCCTGATGTTGAGGAAGATACTGCTGGCATTTCTCTCAGTGGGTCATATTGGTAGGAAACTTTAGAAATGTTAGGAAGCCTATATGTAAGTGAATCACACTGCTATTTTGCAGCAATTTGCCAAAGATTAGTGCAGTCTGATTATAATCTATGATTAGTGATTGAGTGTAGGAGGTGGGGGGTAGAGTTTTTTTTCACTTTGGGTTAGAAATAATGAGAGGCAGGCTCCTTTTTCTCTCTGACTTACAAGTACCCTTAATCTTGAGTAAAATACTTCTGATTGGGCTAAACGTGAGCTGAGCCTTCTTAGACTCTCATTTCCTTCTTTGATTAAGTGCTGTCATTAATCCTTGTTAACTTACAGAATTTTGCCTTGGGGAAAGGAGATGAAGAAGTGATATCTACACTCCAGTCCTTCTCAAAAATTGTGGATGAGGTAATCCAAATTATAACTTGATTTCTTTCTTTCACTCTCCTGATTAGGATGTAAGGATGCTAGAAAAGAAAAGAGAGTAGTTAATGCTTGGTGTTGATCAGAAAAGGACTTCTGCAACTGAAACAATGAAGAGGGAAGGAGACATTCTGCTTTTCTATGAAGAGTCTTATAAAAGCCTTCAACACTTTTAAATTCAGGATGGTGACATTGGGTAGAATAGGGTTTAGTATTATCTCTATTACAATTATTTACTAGTACATAAAATACTCTGTTTGCTATTGCCATTTGAGAATTTTTCTGTTTGCACCAATTAGCATGCAAGAGATAATTTGTTCACAAAGATAGTGTTTATGAGGAAATGGAGCCATAATGTGTTAATCTGTAAAGTGTTTATCTTTGCAGCTTGGACTTGATATTCTCATCATTGCCCCAATGCAGTAAACCATTTCTGAGTTTTACATTGTTAGGAAGAGATAAAACACTTGTAGCCTTGCTGAACTTCAAAATCTTAGGAGCCTAAATGTCATCGTTTAAATTTCCTTCCACATGTTCATAGATTATTTTTGCCATCTCTTTGTCCTCAGATGTTCTAAGACATGGGTGTAAAGTTTGATTGTGTCACATGATGTATCATAATGTTTTTTTTACTTTGTGGAGCCGGGATGGATGTAGCCCGCGTGTGATGCATCTGGTCCACAGGCCGCCAGTTTGATACCCCTGTTCTAAGATGATCCCTGTACAATTTCTTTTATAATCCACAACTTTTCAGGGGCAGACAAGAATTTTTGCTTTTCCCAGAAAGTTGGCTTCCATTTTGGCTTGAAACAACTTCAGTATTCCAAACTTGTTTTCTCTTGGGGCTTTCATACCTTTTTCCATCTGGTTTTAACTGTTTAATCACATTCAACCAAAATCCACAATTCTGTGAACCCCTCAACATTAAAATAATAATACCTTTTGTAGAGCATTAGCTGTTGCAATTTATCCTAAACAGTCTTGAGATCTGTATTTGGGGGGAGAAGGGAGAATTCTCTCCATCATGTAGCTGACTTGATTAAGCCTCAAAGAGTTGGGCCTGATTAGTATTTGGTAGGGAGACCACTAGGAAATCCAATAGTTGTAAACTAGACTAAGAAGAAAAAACATTCTGAAAAAAAGAAGCCAGTGGCTTCTTTCATATTGTTGGCATAAGAAAAACTATATGGAAGTAACAAGAGAGACTTTACTTTTTTCTGGAGAGTTTCCTAATCTCTCTCTCTCTTTTTTTTTACTCACCAAGATATAATATCACCAAGGTATAATATCCTGGAGAGAGAAAATTCAGTCTCTTTTAATAGTTCAGATCTATGTATGACTATGCATACACGAAAGCACCTCAGACAGAATTTATCAGCAATTCAAGTACAAGATAACTTTTGTTGAAAAGTCCATTGTCCATCTTTTTAACAGAATACTTAACAATGGCATCCTGGGACCAAAATGTGGCAGGGGCTTTGTCAAATACATACTAGGTTTTCAAAGAAAGTTTCTGTGTTCTTCCCTAGATGCTCTGCCTTTCCCACAGTGTAAACCATTTAGTGGCCTTTGTATTTGTCAATGGCGATGAGTCATACCTTTATTCTCCTCTTTGTATTTATATATCAACCCATACATGAAAATCAATAACCGTTTAAAAACCTCCCTTGGATATTACAGTGTTCTGCTAGAAACGAAAAAGAAAAACAACAGCTCTTTGTTTGGTTTGGATAGAACAGCCACATGGTCAAAGCAATACAAAGTGCGAATGAAACTGAAGGTTGCAGAATCAATATAAACATCCAAGTTAATTTTGCTTCAGAGCCTCTCCAGTCATTTGATAACCTTGGAGACTTTCTTGGGCAAACTTTTTGGCTCGGGGGCCTCATTGACTTTTAAAATTTGACAGATGGGCCCCCACCTGGTGTCAAAATGCCTGTCATTACAAGTCAAAATCAAATGAATGCAATCATTCAATCATTCACATCAAACCTTAATTCTGTACCAATCTTCGGCGGGCCGGATTAAAAAGACCAACGGGCCGGATGTGGCCCCCGGGCCGTAGTTTGCCCACCCCTGCTATATAGTGAGGTCTTATTTGTGAGTTGAGTCTTTGCATTTTGTGAAGCAAATTCCCTTAGAACTTTTGGTGGAATAACCTTAGTGTTCAGCTTCATACAGTTTTAAGATAGGATTAGTTTCATCACTAGAGGCAATTCAGAGAATATATGCAGACATTCCAGATTTTAAATTTGAACACCATGTGAGAAAACTGCAGAGTGAGAAATTCTCTTGATCAGCCTTTACAGACTGCTGCCTTCTGAGTGTGTTAAGTTGTGCTTCCAGTCATCCTCATGTTGATTGGAGAAACGTTGCACTAGAGGTAGTCCTTGACTTACAACAGTTCATTTAGTGACTCTTCAAAGTTACAATGCAGCTTTAAAAAGTGATTTTTGACCATTTTTCAGTTACAACCTTTGCAACATCTCCATGATCATGTGATCAAAATTCAGAGGCTTGGCAACTGGTTCATACTTATCATCTTTGCTATATCCCAGGGTGTGATGCCCTTGTTGGAGACTGACTCCGAGGGACAGGAGGAACAGCCCACAGAGAGTGGAAGTGTGGCTCCAGAGGTTGTGGAAGAGGCTGGGGAAGGGCACAGGCCACCTGGGCAGTCAGAGGAGGACCCAGGCCCTTCCCTTCTGCATCCTAGGGCATGCAGGGAGGAGAGGATAAGGAAGAAACGTGAAACGTCTACGGGGGAGGAAAGGGCATTGATCCCCTTCAAGGGCTGCAGCTGTGGGAACTATTTAAAAGGACTGACTACATGAGCCAGTACTGGAAACAAAGTATGAAAATATTTCTAGTCTGTCCGTTCTTACCTGAGTTTGGTGTCCTTCCCAGTATGTATTCCGATATCTGTGGGCGTCTTCAAGCCCTTATCTTGCCTGGTTCCCTTAATTGCTTCAGTGTGGTTTCTGTTGTGTTGTTTGTGTTTTTTCTAGTTATAATTTATAGGTATTTTTAGTTTAACCAGCATCTCCTCCTTTTTGCAACTGTTTGTGGGGGAGTTTTTTGTCTCCAGTCAAGTATATTTGGAGCTTTGAAGCCAAGTTGAAGGAATTAAAAGGACTTCACCTGTTTTTGTGCCTGTGTTGTTTTTGTATCCCACACTGGGTCATCACACAGGACCATGTGATCACCTTTTGCAACGTTTTCACAAGCAAAGTCAATGGGGAGGCCAGATTCACTTAACAACCAGGTTACTAACATATCAACTGCAGTGATTCACTTAACAAGAAAGAATTGTAAAATGGGGCAAAACTCAACAATTGTCTTACTTACCAGCAGAAATTTTGGGGACAATTTCTGGTCATAAGTCGAGGACTACCTGTAAACAGTGGGGGGCACCACCTGCATTTCTTTATGAGAATCAGATTTTCCTGTTTTGTAAAAGCAAATAGTAAATCATCAAAATGTCAAAGATAACAAGGAACAAAATCAATACATCTTTAGAATGCAAATATTAATATTGGAATACATGTACAGATAATCCTCAATTTATGACCGTGGTTGCGCCCAACATTTCTATTATAAGCAAGGTAGTTGTCAAGTGAATTGTGCCTCATTTTATAACCTTTTTTGCCACAGTTAAGTGAATCACTGCAGTTATTAAGTGAATCGTGTTCGTTAAGTGAATCTGGCTTCCCACATTGCTTGTCAGAAGCTGTCTGGAAGGTTACAAATGGTGGTCATATGACCCCAGAACAATGCCACTGTGATGACCCAGGAAGCAGCACACACGTAATAAATTCCCAAACGTAAATACATTTCCTTCAACGCCTCCAACTTGGCCTCACTGTTCAATTGTTCACAGTTGAAGATTAAACTTTTTCCAAAATAGTCTCCAAAAGAAAGAAATACAGTCCAAACTCAACGAACAGATAACAGAGAAATAAAAAACCAAACCAAGCCACACTGAAGGAATTTCCACAACAGACCAGGATAATTAATTACAAACTTCAAGAAGATAACAAGGCACAGTCCATCGGAAGAACGCCAACCAAGATAAACCTCAGCCAGAAATAAAACATGCTTTGCTTCTAGTAATGCTGTGTTTTAAACGCTCCTCCTTTATACTATTCCCCCTAGCTGCAGCCAATGTGGGGGATCATGGCTGCTTCCTCTCCCGTAAGCCATGTTGTTCCTTTCTCCGTTCCTCCCTGCGTGCCCTAGCATGAAGAGGGATGGGCCTGGGTCTTCCTCTGACTGCCCAGCCGGCCTCTGCCCTTCCCCAGTCTCCTCCACAATCTTTGGAGCCACACTTCTACTCCCTGTCGGCTGTTATTCCTCTCCCTCAGAGTCAGTCTCCAACGGTCATGACAGCCACTGTCATAAATACATGCTAGTTGCCAAATGCCCAAATTTTGATCATGTGACCAGGGAGATACTGCAATAGTCGTAAGTGGAGAAACCAGTCATAAGTCACTGTTTCTGGTGCCACTGTAACTTAGAACGGTCAGTAAATGAATGGTTGTAACTTGAGGACTGTTTGTAAATATAAACTGAAGAAGAGATGTGCTGAAATCTGTAAACCAAGCATGGATGAGTCCTTAAGGAAGTTTTTAAAACTTTTACTGGTCTTCCCCTTCTCCCCCCCACCCCCATACTATTCATCAAAGCAGATGTGCTGTAAGTACTCTTATTGATTAAAAGATGTTCCACAAAAAATACATCAGACTGCTAACTTCATATTTAGATTGATTTATTTTTAAGGTTTCCTGCAGTGAAGAGGAATTAGGATTTGACAGCTTAAAGGGCATCTGTCTGTTAGTCATTTAGTCCCTGCAATTATAACAGAACCTAATGGTAATAAACAAAATTCAATATTTTAACTATTCTACATTAAAAAGTTGATCATTCTATATTAAGAGATTAAAAATTAGAAGATGTATGGTATGTCTTGATATGAGATCAAGAGATTACTGAGATATGAATACATAGAAAATGATTCTGAAGATAAATATTGTTCTAATATATACCTACATACATAGATAAATACGTGTGTGTATGTCTGTGTGTGTTTTATATATATTAGAGAGGATCCCAATCCAGCTATATAGGTGAAAAGAAATAATGTTGGCTTCCTCCAATGTCATTTTTTACTTCCTTTCTCTAATTTCCTTTGCTTATATCAGCTTTATTATGATTATTATTTAGAGATGAAATTGAGGCTGAGAGATATTTCCAGGATTGTAGTACCAAGATAGTATCATTGCTTTCCTGTTTTTCAGCTTAATGCTTTACACACTGAACTGGCAAAACAGCTTGCAGACACAATGGTTCTTCCTGTCATCCAGTTTCGTGAGAAAGATCTTACAGGTAAATAGTTGACATGTTTCTTCCTGGTTGGGAATTTCCACAGGCTGAGTTCTCATTACCAAGTAGTCCTCACTTAATGTCCATCATTTCAGTGACCATAAAAGTGCTGAACAAAGGGACTTATGACTGGTCCTTGAAGCCCTTGCAGTGGTTACATGAACAACATTTGTTCACTACCTTCAGTCCCACCCATATTTACAACTCCCTTTTGGCCATCTGCCTACATGTTGCTGCCAGCTGCCCCTGCTGACCAGCCCAATGTCAGTGGATGTGCCACAAAGGCACCTTCTTTTGTGCCAGTGCAGTCAGGGTCTCTGCCCCGCTCTCCCCCGAGAGCCTTTGCTCATGTTGTACTCAGTGCTTCTATTTGAGTCGCATCCAAGATCTCTGTTCATCAAAGAAGGACCTGTCTGACCTGCAAAAGAAGGACAATGTAGAAACCAAGGCCCCAATCAACGTTGAAAAGAAAGGCCCGGCTGTCCCGGGACCACAGAAGTCAGTGTAAAAGAAGACCTTGACCGATAGTAATGCAAAGTGGGGTGGGTGACGTGGCTGGCAGGGATGGGTGATGGGCAGCTGTCAGCAATGGGTAGATGTGTTGCCAAAAGGGCAGAGTTGAGAGAGAGATAAGTGGATGGGGGTGAGTTGAAGCAGAGGCAGCCCCTACTCTTGAGGAACTGCTGTTGCTAAGTGGAACGTTTATGTGATCTTTCATTCAACAACTCTTGTCACTTAGCAACAGGTAGGGTAGTTAGGTGAGGACTATCTTTTTATTGTTTCCCTGAGAGAATGCGTGAATAGAAAATTAAAGGGAAGAAATAAACTATTTTTTTATTTAAGAAATCTCAAAAGATATAGATGGGAATAATATATCTAATAATAACAATATAGCTTACCAGTACATTTCTCTACATATTTACTTCAAAATAAGGACAATCCTGGTGGGTGTGGTTACATTACAAAAATGGGGGAAAATGAAGGAAATAAGATCTTGTCTACAGCCTTCAGGCTTGTACCATGCTAGTCATTTCTAAGATAGGCTGCCAGATTTCCCTGTTCTATTGGCCAAAGGAATCCTGGACATTAGATTCAAACTAGAAATTGTAATAAAACAAAAATGCTACAAGGATAGCAGCTTTTCCTCCCAAGTTTTCTTGGGTTGATTGATGAAATCTGTTTGGTGAGAACTACAGTTATAGAAATTTGTAAGTAAAGTAGATGGGAGGGAGAGTTCTATTTCTGTCCAGGATTTAATCCACATATCTCTGAAAAATATGTAATACATACATTGTTGTTTTCTTTATTTTCTCCCTAGAAGTAAGCACTTTAAAGGATCTCTTCAGTCTTGCAAGCAATGGTATGTCTCGCATTTTTATTTTTGATTTGATAGAATTCCCTGCTGCATGTGCAGCTTCAGTTGTGAGGCTCAAAGGTTGCCTTTTCTTTCAGAACATGACTTCTCCATGGCCAGATACAGCAGGCTACCCAAAAAGAAAGAGAATGGAAAGGTATGCTTTTCCAGTTTTAGATTATTTTTTTTAAACAACCCAAATTCTGGCCATGTAGAAAAAAAGCAAGTGGGCAGAAAGTTCAATTCAACATATCTATTTCATACAAATAAAAAATGTGATGGAAAAGATCGCTTAAAATTTATGGTAGCATTTGAATTATTTGGAAGTGCCTTCCAAATGATGGGTGCAGTTCTCAGAACGAGAGTCCTGAATGTTAGAATAGAATAGAATAGAATAGAATAGAATAGAATAGAATAGAATAGAATAGAATAGAATAGAATAGAATAGAATAACAGAGTTGGAAGGGACCTTGGAGTTCTTATAGTCCAATCCACAGCTGAGGCAGAAAATCCTACACCAGTGGTGGCTAACCTTTTTGGGTTCCTGTGCCAAAAATTGTGCGCACGCTTGCACGCAAGCACTCGCATGCCAACACCCAGAAAGCAATGTGCGCTCCCCCACACCCCCTACGCATGCACACGTAATACCCACCCATCCTCACTACCCCCTTATCTGAACCGCGCCTCACAGCTGATTTTCGGCTGATTTGAGGCCCAAAGGCTTGAGGAAGGCTTCTGCAGGCTTTGCAGGCCGAAAACTAGCCCTTCCTCACTTCCAGTATTTTCGGAAAAATGGGAAGTGACGAAACGGGGCTAGTTTTCGGCCTGCAAAGCCTGCAGAAGCCTTCCTCAAGCCTTTGGGAGGCCGAAAAAGGCCTCAAACCAGCCAAAAATTAGCTGTGCATGCCCAGTGACATATGTTTGCCTGCAGCTCACATGCCGGCACAAATGGCTCTGAGTGCCACCTGTGGCACGTGTGCCATAGGTTCTCCATCATGGCCCTACACCACTTCAGAGAAATGGTTATACAATCTCTTCTTAAAAACTTTCAGTGTTGGAGTATTTACAACTTCTAGAGGCAAGTTGTTCTTCTGATTAATTGTTCTGTCAGGAAATTTCTCCTTAGTTCTAAGTTGCTTCTCTCTTTGGTTAGTTTCCACCCATTGCTTCATGTCCTGCCCTCAGGTGCTTTGCAGAATAGCTTGTCTCCCTCTTCTTTGTGGCAGCCCCTGAGATATTGGAACACTGCTATCATGTCACCCCTAATCTTTCTTTTCTTAAGACTAGTCATATGCAAATATAATCCAAGTGCTTTCAGTAGATTTTGATGTGATCTTATCTGTTGTATGTTGCATTCTTCAGCCTCTTTTGGAAAAAAAAGCAAATTGTCTGCTGATACTTGTCTGGGTTTTATAAACATTTTATTATTCAGCTAAAGGCTGAAGTTGCCAAAGAGGTTGCCAGTGCCCGAAGGAAGCAGCATCTGTCATCATTACAATATTACTGTGCCTTGAATGCTTTACAGTATCGTAAAAGAATTGCTATGATGGAACCCATGCTGGGATATGCACATTCACAGGTATGTAGCCCTAAGCAACACAGTTTTATAGCTAAGAAAGGAGCTGTGAATTATTTTTCAGTGCAGTGGGATACCTCATTTGCAAATGGTGCTTCATATATGTCTGAGCACAATATAGCTCGTTAATATTTCAGCCACTTTATATTCAAAGCACCTGTGTTCTCTAATATTGTAAACCAGAGTTGTGATCATTGATATGAGTGAATGATAAAAAGGTATGAATAATAGTCTACTCTTAAAGTAACAAATGTAAGGCTTGTTAAATAAATTGTATACACCAACTTCCATGGGTTTTAACTGAGATGAGGAATATTGATGCTAAAAAAGAGAAGGCTTACAATTATTTCATAACAGAGAGAGGGGGAAAGAGGAAGGAAGGAAGGAAGGTTAATGTGCAAGATCATAGAGACTGAATTTAAGCTGAATTTCAAAGATATATTTTGCCTATAAATGGTGTTTCTCTTGATGCCTGACTTATTCTTTTTAATCATTTTAATACTGAGTCTCCTGTCAGCAATTATTACAAGTGTTTTAGACTGACTATGCCCATGGTGATGCTGTTTTATGAATGGCCAAGCCCCCATTTTCTTTGAGGATCCACAAAAGCTCTCAAAATACAAAGTACATCTATTAACTTCTCAAGGCTTGGAGACCCTTGGAGGGAGCCATTTGCTAGTCAAAGTCTTCAGCTTCCTTTTTATACTTTTCAGATTAATTTTTTGAAGAAAGGAGCAGAGATGTTTTCAAAAAAGCTAGATGGATTTTTAACATCGGTTACAAAAATGGTGCAGAGGTAACACATTCCTGTTTATATTGCTTTGCAATTTTGGGAAGGAGGAAAGATGTTGCTTGTATTGCTCTTATCTACATGAGCAAGAAGGGAGAGGGAAAGAAAGGGAGATAGAATTGTTTTGACGTGAAAATACTATCAAAGGCCTATTCAACTATGACCCAACTGATAATTTGCCATACTGGCTTGTAACAATACTTATAGTCCAATTCATCTGGAAGATGTTGGCTTATAATTTATGCTGCCTGATCAGGGATCTTGAAAGTAATTGTGTATTTTTTTTCTCCCACTGTGCATCTCTACAGAATTGCAACCATTTTAGAGATAGGAAATGGCACTAAAATAGTTTGTCTAGAGCTAAGCTGCAAAATAACGTATCACAAAAGTGATTTCTGAAAAGTGTTCTTGATCATCCTAAAATCTTTATCATATAAGATATACATGAAATCATGATGTTATTGTGATTCATAATTACTTGCAAATGCACATTCTTACCCTGTTTTGTAGCTCTTAAGTACTTATGAAAAATGTATTTGTAAATAATCTTTAACGCCCAGCTGTATTAATTTCATACATAAAAGTTCACCAGAAATAGCATGATGGTGAAGTGCTTTGATTTTATTTATGTATTGCAGCATCCAAGAAGAATCAGATGCTGAGGTGGAAGTCATGAGGGTATCTCAGCAAGATCTGCTTTCAGTTGGTGAATCAGTATATACGCCCGATTTTGATGCTTCTCCTGTCATCAACAAAAACCTCATCCAGAAAGCAGGCTACCTAAACCTTAGAAAGTAATGTGGAAGCTCAGAAATGTTTTATTTATCTTGCTGGGTTGGTCATTTCAGCTTTTTTTTAAATTATCGTACTCCGACTTAATTTGGACAATAAGAGGGCTAAAAATACTTCATTTTTTATGTTTACTTCGAATCTTAAAGAGTGAAATCTTAAAGAGTGATAAAATGCTTCTTGTACTATGCTTCTTGTACTATGGAAAATGTACAAGTACTATTGCACTAGTAATTACAATAAAGTGCCTAGTGTCCAGATGGTTGGGTTGAATAAAATATTTACATAAGGGCCTTTTTAAAGTCTATGCACAATAGGCTTCAACAGGGAGAGGAGCTGTTATTTCTTTTTTCCCCTTTTTTCCATTTAACCTCTGCTTATGGAAGCTTATTAATATCTATATATGCTTTAGACATTGCAAATATCAGTTCCATTTGTGGGATGCATCTAATAGTGGTAAAAGTAATAGTCTTCACTTGTCCAGCGATATATGGTAACTGTGTAGGCAGGTTACTGATTCCAGACAATGAAACCTGACTCACCAATGTAGCAGCATTATAAAATCCAACACCTGAAAATAAATAAAAGCTGTAACTAGTGATATAGTCATAACAAAATATAGTCTTAAAAATCCATGTGCTGAAGACAATCAGATGGGCTTGTTGGAATGATTTTGGCAAACATGTTCCAGTACTGGGTTTTGGTTTTTTTAAATCTTGAAATGGTATATTTTTTTGCAGCAAAACAGGCCTTGTGACAACCACGTGGGACAGGCTGTATTTCTTCACTCAGGGTGGAAACTTGATGTGTCAACCCAGGGGTGCAGTCGCCGGTGGATTGATTCAAGATTTGGACAACTGTTCTGTGATGGCCATTGATTGTGAAGACCGACGTTACTGCTTTCAGATCACCACTCCAACAGGAAAACCGTATGTGGGTCAGGATCTGGGGATCAAGGCATCTGCTAGAAGGAAAGCTTTGTTAATTCTTGGCGAGGTTGCATTAACTGAGCTGCTTTGTGTACTTTATTTCCTCCACTTAATCTAAATCAAGTTTTTCTGGATTACATAGGAATTATTGCAAAAGTAATTTTGGTGTTGTACATGGATTTCCATTTAATGTTATAGCACATAATCAGTTTTAAGTAGCCAAGAGTTAGGGGGCTGCGGCAATTTTTTTCAGTTACACCCCCATATTATGGAATAGCCGCTCATGAATTTAGGTAAGTGCCCTCCCTCTTGAATGTGAGCCACTAGGAATAACATTTGGAACTTAACAGTATAGAAATTTAAGAAGGCCACTGCTGTCATTATCTAAGAAAGAACAATACAGGCATTGTATAAATAATTAGGGGTATTGTACTATTTCAGCAAATGGAAGCCAATTTGGTTAAGGAAGTTAAGGCTTCAGCATAGAAACAGAAGACTGAGTTCTAATTTCTCCTTAGGCACAAAGCTAGTTGGGTGGCTTTGGCCAGTCATTCTCTCTCAGGCCCAAAACCAAAAGTGGTTTAGCAGGTAATGCTAAACCACTTCTGAAATTTTGCCAAGAAGACTCCAGGGATTTGTCCAGATAATTACCAGGAGTCAATACTGACTAGTATTTCAGCATATTTCAGCAAATACAAATAAGCTTACATCTGTAAACCAAGCACCAAATGCCAAATTGGCTTTTTCTTTGTAATTATAACTGTTTCAAGGTCTATCCATCAGGCTTTTGGTCCAGAATGTTTAATCTAGAAGTTCAAAAACATTTTTATTTGATTTGATTTCTAAGGCTGCCCAACTCAAACAATGTGATTCTGGGAAGCTTATTTTTTGCTCTAAGCTTAAGTCACTTTTTTGCCTACACGTGAATATTTTATGCTTGGCTGATTTCCCAACATTAATATTCTCACACCTTTAATATCCTGCAAATTCAAACTTTTGGATCTCAAATTGTATTGTATTGTATTTTTCATTCATGCAGTCTTGAGCAAGAATGATGCATATGTGAAAATCCAGTGAAATAATACTAATGGTTGTGTATTTTTTTAATAGAGGCATAACTCTCCAGGCAGAAAGCAAAAAAGAATATGAGGAGGTAAAACATTTCACCCTGAATTTGTTAGATAAAACCAATTCTACAAATTAAGAATTCAAGAATATCCAGGTGCCTTATTTTAAATATTTGCTTTGTTGTTACAGTGGATAAGTGCAATCAACAACATTTCACGACAGATCTATCTGACTGACAACCCAGAAGTGAGCATGTTTTGATATCTTTTTTTCAAATTTATTTATCTTATAAGATATGTTCACTTATGATTCTGTGTTTGTGCAAGAACTTTACACAGTATTACTTAAAGATGCACTTCTGTTTTACTTCAGGCAGTTGCCATTAGGTTGAATCAGACAGCGCTGCAAGCTGTGACTCCAATCACGAGCTTTGAGACGAAGCAGGGTAGTCATTCCTCCAGGTACCTTCATGTTTGCCTTGGGTTTTGTCCTTCCCCATTGAATATAAAACCTTCTTTTCCCCTAATATACAATTTCAGTGTAAGCAGAGAGTTTTGTCCTGGGGGAATATTTAATCCTGCATTTCCTCTTCTAGTTATGACATAGAGAACTGTTCCTTAACACAATAGATGGATCGTATCAGTCACATGCCAATGAACAAGCATTTCCTTAAAAAGAGATTCTCTGCTTATTCTTTGTCATTCATCTTTTGAAACTAGTAAAACACAGGAAAAATGATACCTTAGTTATTTTTAATGGATTTTCCATTCGTAATAATCCATCGTGCTTTTTGACTGCGTATTTCAAATGGCCCCTTTCTCATCTCTTTTCCTTTAGCCAGGATGGGAAGTGCATGGATATTCTGAAAGACCAGACAGTTCCTGAGGAGTCTGCTGAAGCTCTCGTCCCCACTGAGTTAATTGCACCTGGAACTCCCATTCAGTTTGACATTGTGCTTCCTGCAACAGAGTTCCTAGATCAGCACAGGGGTGGAAGGTACGGGTTGCCAACAATCTTTCTTTGGACAAGGAACTCTTTTTTTAAAAAAAAAAAACTTTTCTCTTAGTATTGGAAAATGGTCTTTTAGAAATGATACTGTTCTGTTGCAGACGTACCAATCCTTTTGGAGAATCTGAAGATGGCGAGAAAGAGGATGAAGCAGGTACTGTAAGCGTTGTTCATCACTGTTTGCTTTGGTCCCAAAGTCATCCAGGTTAATGTCCCACTTTCGGAGAGACAGCCATTTTGCCTGTGCTACTAAGACCACCTGGTAGTCCGTTTATTGTCAAATGTGGCTGCAGGAATAACTATTTGTCTTTAAAAAAATGTATAAGCAGAAGTCAACAATGTTCCGGTCTCTGTAGATGGAAACATGCAGTCTTTTCTAGGTTGGTTTTAATTTTTGAAATGTGCTGTGAGCAAGATGAGGAAACAGCCTGGTATCAGCAATGCATGTTTGGTGGTATCCATAGTATACCATTCTCCACACACATTTTTAAAATCGTGTTTCCCCCCCCTCATACTTTAGCTTTATTTATAATGCTGGATGGAATGACTGAGGGCACTTTTCGTAGTTACAATTCTCATTGCACAATTTCTCAGTTATTAGAAGGTTTCACTGGTGACTAGAAGGCTGCAAAAATTAACTTGTAGCCCATTCCCTTCTTTCCTTTCTGCTGCATTTTTTTCTGTGGTAAGTTGGAAATGAAAAGTCTAGGGTAAGCAGTAAACATTGGTGAAAGGATACACTTAGTGCTAATATAGCTAAGAATCTTGGGGTGGAGATGAGATTCCTACCAGGAGGAAGCTGTCAAGCTATACAAATATGATAAAGAAATTGATAAAAATAAGCTCCACCATTTGTGCTGCAAACAGCATTTGCACTGATTCCACATTTACAAAGACAGATTGCAAAGGGTTGCTAATTATTTCATACTCAGAATGTGATAGTTTATAACTGAGTATGTGAACTGCCCCACTGAAAGAATACTTATGAATGCACTGCATAGGAAGAGACAAACTGGAGCTTATATACATGCTTTATGCAAGCTTTAGCATAAACCTCAATAGCCCTTTGTAAATGATGAGACCAGCTTCGGATCAAGGCAGTCTCTCTATGTGTCCTGCTAGGTGAAGAAGAGTAAGGTAAGGAAATACAGGAGAAAATACAGGTAGTCTTCTCTTAGCAATGGGCTCATTTAGCAACTGTTCATAGTTACAATGGTGATGAAAAAGAAACTTTGCAACCAATTCTGGCATTTATGATTTTCGTAGGTCTGTAAAGCAAAGGAAAGCTAAAGTAAGATCATAAGCATGGTGGCAGTTTCTTAGTGGCCAATTCACCTAGACACCAAGTTGCCAGTTCTGATTGTGGTTGATAAACAAGGACAACCTCTAGTAGAAAGGAAGTGGTGCTCCTTCCTTGCTTTGGTTTCTTGTCCATACTTCATCAGTATATAACGAATTATTACCCTAAAAAGAAAGCAGCCCTCCATGAGAAAAAAAATAAATGTAACCTTGATATTATATCTTTTAGAGCAGAGGTCTCCAACCTTAGCAACTTTAAGATTTGTGGACTTCAACTCCCAGTTGAAATCTGGGAGCTGGGATTGAAGTCCACAAGTCTTAAAGTTGCCAAGGTTGGACATCCCTGTTCTAGAGCAAGCGTCTTCAAACTTGGCAAGTTTAAGACTTGTAGACTTCAACTCCCAGAATCCCTGAGCTAACATGATTAGAGGAATTCTGGGAGCTGAGGTCCACAAGTTTTAAAGCTGCCAAGTTTGAAGACCCCTGTTTTTAATCATCATTTAAGCATCTATATGTGAACTGGGATTTGAAATATATTGCAGATGGGGAAGCTTCTCTTTGAAATAATAATCATTTTTGCAGGAATCTATTAAAATTGTTTTTATGATAAAAGGCAATATAAATATATTTTTTCCATTTCTCTCCCCCTCCATCCCCAGATTCACTCCTGCAGCACATGTTTGTAGTTCGGTTTTTAGGCTCTATGGCTGTCAGATCTGACCACACAGTGGAGGTGATCTATGAAGCAATGCGGCAGGTGTTGGCAGCTCGGGCTATTCATAATATTTTCCGTACAACTGAATCACATCTCTTGGTCACCAGCAATGACCTGAAGTAAGCAAACTTTATCTTCTTTGATCCATTTCCATATATCTTCCCCCCCTTTAGTTTTGTTGCCCTCTTTGTAGTTTTAGTTGTAAAGTGATCCTGGAAATGGAATCAGTCAGAGAAAAAGCATTAGGGAAAGGAGGCAGATTTTGTTCTCTGACGCACATCTGCTCCAGTGTTGGTCCTTCAAGAAATGTGGGAGGGCCTAAGAATGTATGAAGAGTTTCGCTAGATCAAAGGCATGTCTAGTCAATCGCCCTTATACTATTCAGTGCTTAATTTTATAGCCAAGATCTTGTATATCTCAAGCTGCCATTACAGGTAGTCCTCGACTTACAATTCATTTAGTGACCATTCAAAGTTTCAACAGCACAGAAGTGATTTAGACCGTTTTTCACAGTTACCACCTTTCTAGCATCTCCATGATCATGTGATGAAAATTCAGATTGTTTGGCAGCTGGGGAAGCCAGATTCACATAACAATTGGTTTACTAACTAGTCAACTGCAGTGATTCACTTAACAACTGAGGCAGGAAAGGTTGTAAAATGGGGTGAAATTCACTTAACAAATGTCTCACTTAACGTGAAATGAATACAGGTAATGGCTTTCTTCAATGAAATGGAATGTTATGAGCTAATGATAATGTCAAGGACCTAGGAGTACTCCTATCTAATGACCTAAGCGCCAGAGCTCACTGTAACAGCATTGCCAAAAAGGCATTAAGAGTTGTAAATCTAATCTTACAAAGCTTTTCCTCTGGAAATATTGAATTGCTAACTAGGGCATACAAAACCTTTGCTAGACCAATACTCGACTACAGCTCAACTCTCTGGAATCCGCACTGTATATCAGACATTAATACAATTGAGCGAGTCCAGAAGTATTTCACGAGAAGAGTACTACACTCCTCTGCTCATAACAGAATACCCTATATCACCAGACTTGAAATTTGGGGCTTGGACAATCTTGAACTACGCCGCCTACGATTGGACTTAAGCATAGTACACAAAATTATCTGCTACAATGTCCTACCAGTCAATGACTACTTCAGCTTCAACTGCAACAATACAAGAGCACACAACAGATACAAACTCAATGTTAATCGCTCCAAGCTTGATTGCAGAAAGCAACAGTGGCCTGGAATGCACTACCTGACTCTGTAGTTACATCCCATAACCCCCACTCCTTTAACCTCAAACTATCCACTATTGACCTCACCCCCATTTCTAAGAAGTCTGTAAGGGGTATGCAGAAGTGCACCATCATGCCTCCTGTCCCTGTCCTATTGTCCCCATTTAATCGTACCTGTTTTCTGTATTCTTACTCATTTTTATACTTATACCTATTATTTTGTAAGTGATTGACAAATCAAATCAAATAAATAAAAATCTGTTTTGTAACATGCAGTCAAATAAAAACAGCAGTAGCAGCATGTTTCTGGTTTTAGGTCGAGGATTACCTGTAACGAAAAGTATTACTGATGATGAAGGCAATACCTAGCCTTCAGGAGTGGTAGTTATTGATCACAATTCTTCAGGCTCTGGTGGGGGGCGGGATGCCACACACACCCCATTATTGGCAGGAGTTTCAACTGCATCAAAAATCCTTTTGATCATAGATTTCCTCTGGATTCAATTGGTAATCATGATGGAGTTTATTGCCTTTAAAACATATTTTTCTTTCATTAACAGATTGATAGATCCTCAAACACAAGTTACAAGATCAAATGTAAGCATATGCTTTCTTTTATTGCCACAGTAAGATTGCAGTCCCAGAGATTTTAGGTAAATTTATATTATTATTTCTTTTTCAGTTTGAACTAGCCAATGTGACACAGTTTGCTGCTCACAAGGAAAACAAGAGGCTGTTTGGGTTTGTGGTTTGTGTCTCTGAATTGTCAGGTGAAGATGGCATGAGTGCTTATGTGTTTGAGAGTAACACTGAAGGTGAAAAGGTATGGAAATAGCTTTGTTGTATAGTTAAAATGAATAGATGTAACGACTTTCTTCAATGAAATGGAATGTTATAAGCTAATGACCCAATCTGTTTTGTAACATGCCATCAAATAAAAACAGCAGTAGCAGCATCTTCATTATAAGAGTATAAAACGTATAACCAGGCAGCACCGCTTCTGCAAGCTTCAGAATGGATTGGGCCAAACATTTTGAGAGATTTATTTCCAGTTTTGCTTTATTTTTTGTGGAGTTCCAATTCTTAAATCTCCCAGCAGCTTGTTACTCTTCAAATAATCTTATTCACTCCAAAATTGGTCCTGGTGTTGTGCACTTTCAAATTATAGTGCACAAAATCTAATGCAGCCTTCAATCCAACATGCCCTCTTTGATACCAGACTTACGATCATTGGTTTAACAATGGTTTATATTGGTACTGAAAAAAGTGACTTAGATTCCCACCCGTGAAGTTATAAATGTTGCACCATCTCAAGTGTCTTGTGATCCTGATTTGGGCACTTGACAACTGGCTCACATTTACAATGGTTGCAGCATCCAATGGTCACAATCATCCCCCATTGACTTTGCTTATCCGAAACCAGCTGGGAAGATTGAAATCACAATCTAATAAACTAAGTCAATTGGGGGGGGAGGGGGATGTTGGATTCGCTTAATGATCATATAATTCACTTAAAGACCACATCAATTCACTTAATGGCCATGGTAAAATGGCCGTAAAATCAGGTCCAGCTACATGATGATTCACTTAACAAATTGCATAGCAATTGAAATTCTGGCCTTGTTGTATTTATAAGTAAAGGAGTACCTGTAACCTTGATATAATGGGCTTATTAATCAATTTAGGTAAGTTTATTTTTATCCTACCTTTATTATTTTTGTAAATAACTCAAGGCAGCAAACAGTTCATTTGTATCATGTTTTTATTAATTTAGTTATTTTACAAATAACCCAAGACAGCAAACATATCCAACACACCTTCCTCCTATTTTCCCCACATCTTTGGGAGGTGAATTGGCCGAGGGAGTGACTGGCCTTGAAATGGAATGTTTTCTTATGGTATCCATTTAAAATGACCAATTGGTAGAATTTCATTTGTTAATTCCAACCTGTGGCTTCTAAATATAGCAGCATTACTATAAAAAGGGGTATGGTTTGTGTTTCCTTATGCAGGTTGTTGGATTACAATTTCCTTTAGCCATAGCTAATCATATTATGAGCATTATGGTCAGTATCTGGATGGTTACATGGATAGTGTTGGACAAATAATTGGATGTAAACATCTGTTCTAAATGCCTACCAGTGCTAGAAAGCGATTGCTTCAGCAATGGTCTGAAGCATCTTTCCTTGTCATAAACGCTGTTGGTACAGTATTGTAAAGCTTTCACAGACTATTTGGTGATCTTAATTCTGTTATTGGGAGTGCTGCCATATGATTTCTGAGGCTGTAATTCAGATTCAATAATAGGATAAATTATTCAGGAAATACTGAGCTTTGTCCAATTATTTGCAGTTTTAAATAGGTAGTATAATCAATAAAAAAATTAAGTTGTACTGAGGCAGATTTTATTTCTTCTGTAGATTTGCTATGCAATAAACCTGGGGAAGGAAATCATTGAAGCTCGAAAGGTAGTATTTTTAACTTCATAGTCCTTATCCTCTGAATTAAATCTTGCCTTTTGATTCTCTGAGTATTATTATGACTAACAGAATTCAAGCAAATCATCTTTACTTTGAATTTAAGAGGATGTGATCTGGATCTAATTCTATATAGTAAATTCCATAATTCAATACTAAGAGTGGTTATCTAGTAACTAAGTGATTTAAGTGTTTTGTATAGTGTCAGGAGTGTGCATGTGATGTGCTTAGGGAGTACTTCAGCCAATAACTAGGTATAGGTAAATAACATCTAATTTGCTCACAGATACAGAGCAGGTAAGTATCTACTTTTGCTGAACTTATGCATGTTAAGTTTTAATTAACATTAGGCTCGAGCCAGATGATAAATTAAGAAAAAATGAGCTTGATAATGAAGGATTATAAAAGTCAATACAAGGTCGAAGAAATAAGCTTTGAAAAGTTCTTGCTTCCCTTCACATATCGCTCTCCATTGTCTTGCTATAACAGCAGTCTTCAGCATGATTTTTAGGACTGAGTTTGTTTCTTGGAAGAGTCAATTTGGTGTTGTGGTTAAAGCATCAGTCTAGAAACTGGGAGACAGAAGTTTGAGTCCTACTTTAGGCACAAAGCCAATTGGGTGACCTTGGGTAGTCACTTTCTCTCAACCCTAAGAAGCATGCAATGGCAAATCATACTGAAATCATGCCAAGAAAACCAAATTGACTAGTCAGGGCAGTTGCCATGAGTTAAAAACTGATTCAAAAGTGGAGGAAAAAGTTTCCTGGGTCCACGTAGACCCCTTTAGAAATTATACATTAAACATGACTGGAATCTAGTTGTCCATTTGGAGTTTATAGTTTTACACACTCACCGGAGCATAAACCGAGTATTGCAGGGTATGCTATTATAATTTTGTCTTCTGACAAGCAGATGTTTATATCACTAACTTTAGAAGCCATTTTGTGGGAGTACCCAAAATCTTAAAACTCCACAGGTAAAAAATTAGACCACCTTTATTTCATTTCCATTTCTCTAGTCTAATTCGAGAAATATAGGAATTTTTGCACTCACATGAACTGACATTCTGAGAAGTTAAGAACTCTTGTTTCTCTATCGTCTGACACATTGTCCCATGACGCATCACAACTTTTCCCTTTGCTAAACTGAGAGTGGGTGTGGCCAGTGGGCCATGAGTTTGACACCCCTGGTCTAATAGAATCGTTTTTATTATTAAAAGTACAAAAGCATTCCAGTATGAGGAAAATGATTCCAGATATTATTTCAGTTGGGAGTTAAAAATGTCAATTGAATAACTGCCTTCGGAAAAGTAAAAATATGAAGTCAGTTTACAATGTTTGTATGATGATTAACAATTTTTTCTCTAGCCATGTGAATTTTTAAAAATATACAGTACCTTATAAAAGTTCTCATAACTTTTGTGAAAAAGTCACTGCAGGCAAATAGGGAGGGCTTTTAGGGGCTGATTTGGTTTGGGAACACAACAGAAAGGAAACTGGTCCTCTTGATTTATAGGCTGCTTTTTGAAAAGCTGTTCATGAAATTACATTTTATTTGCCTTGAATAATTTTCATTTGTCATTTTAATTATAGGATCCAAAAGCTCTAGCTCAATTAATATCATCTATGCCTCTTACTAACGATGGAAAATTCAAGTTACTGAATGAGCGATCAGAAGAAGACAATGCTGTACATGGAGAAGGACAGGAGTCAGAAGCATAACATCATTTCTCTCAGTGGAGATGATGGTGTCCGTAAGAGAGTATGCCTTGTGCTCTCAGTTGTGGTCCAACATAGGTGGGCTAGAGGAAACACCAAGAGATGAGAACTTGATCCAAATATTTGGTATAGAAACTGACAGACTTTTAAAAATTCTTCCTCAATACCAAGCCATCATGAATACTGATGGGAGGACCACAAAGTCATCACTAACACCAGCAAAGTTTTAATTCTTCATAAACGTGCATTCACAAAGTTATAAACAAATACACACCTGTTTCACATAATTCTACTGGCTATAGTAGAGGACGAAATTGCACAAGCCACAGAGTTTCTGAAAGTCTGAAGTAAAATACAGAGGCACTTCACAAAAAAACCTAATATTTTGCATCTTAAGCAAAATAGGTAGAAGAATTGAAATGTTTGGAATATAATTTAGATAGCAGAATTGAAGTGTTTGGATTATAATCTCAGTGATAAATACTTTATTTGCTCCTATTTGCATACCTTTTAAAAAGTAATGGGAAAGCTATTTTAAACTAGGCTATTTAGAAAGCCATTCAATAACAGTTTCTACTAATATTTATTTTTATACTTTTATCTGAGTTAAGCTTTCAAAATTAAGTGCCTAATGTGTGATAATAGAAAACAAATAACTCAAGCAAGTAGAAAATAGAAGGACCAGAAAGCAAGTTAAAGCTATTATGAAACTCAGTCATTTACCAGGGCCGAAGAAAAGATGAGCCAGTGATTGTCACTGCTATTCAAATAAGCCTGTTGGCTAACATTTTTGCACTGTTCTGTATGACGAGATAACTGCTTTTCTACTTTCATGTGAAAGTTTACAAATTTGATAGAAGAGGGACTCCATTCCTCAGACAATTACTTCAAAGCTAGATATAAACAATACCAGAAGCATTTTCACACTGTCCTGGGAAAAGCAAATCAAGCTAGCCATAACAGTGCTTATACTATCTTTTTTATTTGACATTCCTCCTCATGGGGCCAGCATAAATTGGATATATCTGTTTTGAGAGCTTTAGATTTACTCTTTTAAATTATAAACACATTGTAAATAAATTACAATGATAGCCAGATCTCATGAAGAATTTTATCTGTCTTTGATTATTTATATGATGTTTTAATGTTAAAAACAAGGTCCACATCTCGCACTACAACAGTTTCAGCAATAATGGCTAAAGAGCTTGAAAAATAGGTGAGAATTTATGTAAGTTATAGTATAGGACATTTTATGATTTAGTAACGTCTTAAGATTTTTAAACCAGAAGGCTAGAAAAATACCAGTAGATTTTCTGAAAGAGTATTGTACTGAAGTTTTCTGTATTAATGATATTCAAATTGTTCTACTTAGTACAATAGTACAGTAGATACAAATATTTAAGTGCAATAAGCTTATAGCTGAAACTGCTCCCAGGTTAATATTAGCGTCCAATCTAGTTGATATAAACTATATGCAGTGAAATGGATCATAATTTGACTACTCTAGAGCAGGCCTGTCAAACTGGCGGCTCGCAGGTCAGATATGACCCCTGAAGGCCATGCCCACCCCAGTTCTGCAAAATAAAAAACATTGTGATACATCACGATATGCGCGAGGTTGGCACCCTTGTTCTAGAGGTTGAAGCAGAAGGTATTGTAGAGATTTCACACAAAGGTATCTTAATGGTGATCCATCCATAATTGAACTGACAATTATTATATTTAAGCCAGTATACTTAACTGTTTTGGTTATCTATTAGAAAGAATATGGGGCACATTTCTAAAGGAAATTTATTTCGATAACTACAGAACAAATTATATTTCAGTTAGCCCTATGAAGTTGATTAAATCAATCCTAGCGCTCTGGCTTAGCTGTAGATTGAAGTATCTACATTGGCAAACCTGGTTCTCATTAAAGATACAGCATTCAAGGAAGTCAAAACATCCCAGGCTTGTGACCATTATATACAAATCCATTTTTTTTCCAAAGTTGCATTTATTAACATTATGTACAGAATATCTAACAGAATAAAGAATTGAGGTAACAGGTTTTTTGTTTTGTTCCACTTCGTTTTTGTAAATGAATTAGAATAAGACATGTTATAATTTTGTCCCTTTCATTCCTGAGAATTTGAACATAGGTGGAATAGATCAGAGTAACAGATCAATGACAACAGGACCTACCTTTCAGTAACTTTGGCAGAAGCTCAAACATACAAATGTACAAAATATTAATGGCTTTGCTGAGTCAATCCCTATTACGTCTGGCAGGCCTTGTGATTTTATTCTGGAAGACCATGTAATAGCCAAGAGGACCTTACTGGAAGTGGCCTAGGTATTTGTGTTCAATTATGTATTTCATAAAAAATAAAGATTCCTTACAAATAAAGATTAAGAATTTGAAAGATAAAAATCTCTGGCATGCTTTTGTAAATAAAATACATGGAGAAGATGCCATAGCTACTGTCTCCATGTTGGAAGACAGATTATTCAAAAGATGAGATGGGAAAAGGCAAACAATAATTCCATGTCTTACTGAACTCACCACTGATACTATACAGCAGGGGTTCCCAAACTTGGCAACTTTAAGACTTGTGGACTTCAACTCCCACAATTCAGCCAGCCAGCTATACAGTTTGGAGTTTGGAGACCTCTGCTATACAGTTATGTTAAATTATTCCCAATTCCCATTTAATCTTCCACACATGTAACAGCTGTGAAAGGTTTGTAGCTACTGAAAGACCAAGCAGTATAATAACACTTTCTGTGGCAGAAGGGCACAATATTAGGTGCCCAAGAACAGACTTGCATTCAAGGCCCAAATTATTTTTGCATTACTTGGTTGTACAGTTTCAATGTTTGTAAGGGTAGCAACCATCACTATATTCACAAAGTTCTATGTTTACATATTCACAACAACATTGCATATACATGCTTTTAGAATCTAGACAATTTCATGATGTTATTTTCAGTATCTCACAAATATGTTAGTTTAGTTAACGCTGTACAGTTTAGCCGTGTATCTAAAAATAGGAGTCTCTCAAATTAAATGACAAAAAGATATGAAAATGAGTATATTTATTATAGCACATAGCTACTTTAAGCTTAGTATGCTTATACAGTGTCTGGGACAATACAAGTTGTCCATTTAAGTCAGCAGTCTAATTGGTAAAGTCTATGAATTAGACAGGTTTTTTTTCCAAGGGGAATTATATGCACTAGGAAAACAAGCAGTAACAACCATATTAAGGATGTGATTTGATGCATTTAGTATTATTGAATCCATTAGATATAAGAATATTTTAAAACTTTCTAATAACAAATTTGCCCCCTTATTAATCACATCTTAGATCAAAATAGCATACTTCTCTGGAACTCCAAATTACAGTGCTGAGTATTACAATAAATTATGTGATATTTCACAGCACGTCGGCATCACTATCAGACCGATGAGGTGGATGTTCTGTGCCAATCTGGTCCCATCAATTTCAACAAATCACAGTTGCTCTAGAGTTCTACAGAACATAAAGCAACACATGAATCAAGCTATACACTCTGACAAAAGTTCCCCTTTTTAACTCACAGAAATGTTCCCCTCCCCAAATTATCAATTCCCCAGCAGATTTTAGTGAACAAAGGAGAAAAGGAATCTATTAGACAAGCACAATTGAAAAACTATTTTTAAAGATTAAAGCCCTCTTTTTTAAAATTTTAATTTGTTAGTTTGTACCTATTATTCATATTTACTTTCTTTGCAAAGTCAAATGGTAATCAGAACAATGATCTTTTAAAAAAATGTTTTGGGAGGGAAAAATCAATGAAATTGCACTTTGTAATTAGAGTTCTGTACCCTTGGAAAATTATTCAGAAGAAACAATTCAGACCTCATGTGAAGACAGCACTTCTCAAATACCCATTAAACAACTGGACATTGTTTTTGTTTTCTTTTGAAGAGGTTTCGTTTCTCATCCAAGAAGCTTCTTCGGCTCTGACAGCATAGTCGGGAATGGAAGGATGACTCTGAGGACACAGATAAACCTCCAAGTGCTTCAATGACCCTCTAAAAGGATACAAATTACAAGCTGTCTGCAAGGAATATAAATCCTTCCATTCCCCACTATCCAGTCAGAGCTGAAGAAACTTCTTGGATGAGAAGCAAAACATAATTCAAAAAGAAAAAACAAAGAAAGTCCAGTTGCCTCCTGAAAAAGCACCTTTCAGACAACCATGACCTGGATGACTGAGAATATCTACAGATTTCCATCTGTGTGAAAGGAAAAGATTTGCCACAAACAACTCTTTTAAAGTAGCATACTTTCCTTTCTTTTGAGGAAACCTGCAAAAAAAAATCAGCTTTAAAGAGATGCTGGCTAATGCAAATCCTAAATTGCTTCTTCCAAATCATTTTTCAAAATGTGCACAGCTCTCTTTTATGCTATTTCACTGAGGTAGTACCATTTGCTTTTTGCAATTTTGCTGGACAAGAACTCACTCTGAACCTCTATAAGTAATCATTATTTTCTCACCCATTACTTTTGGATGGGTAAGCCCATCCAAATTCAGTGCAATTATTGTTCACCCTTTATAAAATAAGTAATCAGAAATCACAGTTATATCACGGTACTCGATTTCAATATACTGCAATTAAGGGTATATGCAATTTAAACAAATATTTAACATTCTAGGTTTGGCAGAAATATACAGAACAAGTGCAACTAATTTCAGGAGTCCATCTTTGGGGAGGAACATAAATAAATTATATTTCTGAATGGTACAAAACTTAAAAGTCTTATTTTAATATAGCTTCTAAATTGTAAATACTACAATCGCATCCATAAATTAACCATACCAGAACTCTCATTTTACAAGAGGATCTGCAGAAGAAGAATTTGAAAGGTCATTGCTTGTTTTTGTAGATTCTTCTGTAATACAAAAGGAGCCAATTTCAACAATTTTATATTCTCAGTATTGAGTAAGAAAAATGGAAGATTTATATATATATATTTTAAAAATTAGTTCTAATTTAGTGCAATTAGTTCTAATCTAATAATTTCCAATGGACAACTGTTTGTGAAGGGCTTTTATATGGGGCAGAATCAAAAGGAATTTGTCCCTAAATATCAGTAGAAATAAAAGAGTGAAATGCCAAGAAACATAAATATGGGTGCCATTTATCTAAACAGCAACAAACATATTAGCTAATATGTACAAGTTACCTCAAAATGCAAAATATGCCACACTCAAAAACTATTGTGGGCCTAGACTATGCCACAATCTGAAATTCCTATATTTCATTTTCTGTTAAGCCTACAAGTTTGCGATTCTCTCTTCTAAACACAGATTATACTTTCCAAAAGGACGACATTCTATTTATCTAATGAAGTAGACTGTGCCCCATAAGAACTAAGGCTACAATACATGCATCATTTTTAAACTATTACAGATCTTTGTTTTATTTACCACTACAGGTAGCCCTCAATTTACAATCATTCATTCAAAGTTACAATAGCACTGAAAAAGTGACTTATGACTGTCTTTACACAACTGTTGCAGCTTCCCCATGATCACATGATCCAAATTTGGATATTTCGCACCTGATTCATATTTATGATGGTTGCAGCATCCCAGGGTCACCTGATCACTCTTTGGGACCTTGTGTCAAGTAAAGTCAATGGGGAAATCTAATTCACTTAATAGGTTACTAATTTAGTAACTGCTGTGATTCATAACAACTGGCAAGAAAGGTCATAAAATGGGGCAAAACTCACTTAACAACTGTCTCGCTCAGCAACAGAAATTTTGGGCTAAATTGTGGTTGAAAGGGCTACATATTAGCCTACTATTTTCATTATGTTTTCTGGCATCATTGTTCAAGCTGCTCAGTGAAAAATCACAATATGAATGTACTATTATTACATATTGTGAATTATTTCACTAGTCTGAATTTCCTACTCATGCTCTAAATGAGTGATAATAAAATTCAGGCTTATAGAAATGGAATACTATTTTTTTTACTACTAATATTCCTCAATGGATTTGTAGTTTGGTGCACAAAGGAGCAGAAAATAATTTGCATTTGGTGCCAGAACTCCCCAGAGTGCAGAATATTTCCTACTAACCTTCACTGTCTTTTTTATCTTGGTTTTCTTCCGCTGCAGTTTTATCTGCTCTAAAAAATATCCTTGCGCTGCTTAGTGAGAAATAAAGCAGTTCAAATTCCTATGAGAAATGAAAAAGATCTGCATGTTTTAACATGCCACATAATCACAAAATCTCCAACTTATTTTAAGGTACAGGAATATATGAAACTCCCATAAATATTGTGCACAATATATACCTGAATTATCAATAGCATCTTTTACACATTATCAACATAATGTACTGAAAAATATCATTCAAAGCATACAATTAAATGTATTTTCTTCATTTTACGGTTAATGCCTTATTTATAATGTATTTATTTCTAATTACCTGTGCTCTTTTGGACATTTTCTTGTCCAAGATCAATTATTTATAATCCATTAATAAAATTTGTTCCAGGTGTCATTATCTCAAAGGGAGAAATCATGTCAGCAACATTTTTAGTTGGCCCTTCTGAATAGTTAAAGACAATTGTTTCAGCCTACATTATTGGCATTATTTTGGATGATTTGCATTATCTGGATGATTCATGGACATTCATGCCATAAGCCTTGAATTAATTTAAGACTTCAACCCATTAAAAAAAGAATCTGACTCAAATTATTTCCTTAAGACAGTTGATTATCCTGAAGCTTCCAGGGAGGAAGAACTGTAGATGGCTCTCTGCAAAAGACCAAGGAACTGGTGAGTAGACCAGACCCTTGGAACCTCTCCAGATAAAGACAGGATGAGAGATTGCCCACATATGCCCCAGATACATGGAGAGATATGGAAGGAGACCTTAGGACAGTTCCACTACTGGTTCGGTGATTGCACGCGTGTGCATGTGCACCTAACACACACACACAGCTTTCCCCACACCAGCTGAGGCAATTCTGTGCTTTTCTTTCTTCTTTTAGCTGATTGTGAGGCTTTTCTTCCTCCTCTCTGCTGATTGTAGGAGCCTTTTTTAAAAAAACCTACTGGTTGGGCCGAACCAGGACTACCCGGTAGCATACCACCATTGGACAGAGGGGATTTTTTTTTTTTTTTGTGGATTTGAACGCCAGGAAACAATTGTATTAGTTATCTTGCTCACAACTGCAGTGGAGACTTTGTGTGAGTTTCTAATAACTTTTGCTATTGATTAAACCAAGGTTGGGCACTTAATTTTTCCAAGGGGTCACATAAGAAACTGGGAATATTGTGGAAGGCCACCCCAACCCCCGCTATCCTCCCACTTCCAATGCCTCACCCGCTGCCACCACAGGCCAGACTTGAAGCACCCATGGGCCGGGCCGTGAAATGCCTAGGTCTAGATTAAACATTAGTGATTCACCAAAACTGCCTTCTAGAAAAAACCCGAGGGCAGTTTTTGAGTAATTTAACATACTATTGCATTATTAGCACTAAATTAATGAAGCTTTTAAGAGATCCTATCTTTCAGTATGCATATACCAATTTGATGTTTCAAAATCATCTGAGACTGTAATTTAAAGATTTTAAATACCTGCAAACAAACTTCCAGTCGCTTATGAGTAAGATTCATGGTCTGTAGCAACTTCTCATCTTGACTAGCTGACTGGACACTCTGCTGCTTTGCTAATGCTCTGATTTCCTTCACATATTTCTCCCGCACTGACTGGAACCAGTGGAGGGAATCAAATTCTTGGTACTGGTCCAAGAGTTTCAAAATGTAAGCCACACCTGAAAGATATGGATATTTCCCCCCCACCCCGAATTAAAAAATAATAATGTGTTTTAAGTGTTTTAAATTACCCTATTTTTATTATTCTCAATTTATTTTTATCTTGATCAATGACCAGCTTAACATGAAGTTATAACTGCAAATATAAAATATAAAACAAATATTGTAATAAAGATTATTAGGATAAAATTACAGAATGTGCTTATCTTGAAATACCTATAAAATTATATTTATAAAATACGGATTGTAATTAGAGTATTTAATTTACAATTTACATATTATAAAATGCAGATTACAATTAAATAAGGGTATTTAATTAATTTACACACAAAACCAGGCAAGCACATACACATCCCAAAAATCTTTATTCCTTAACAAAGCCACAAAGAAGACAACAGGATAGAAAAGGAGTTGGAAAGTATGGATGGTTCTATTAAAAGAAGGGAAGGAAGTAACGTGATCCGGCCCAGGCAAAGTGGGGAAAAAAGCCTGGAGGGATGAAAAGCTTTCTGCCTCTTTGATTTTAGCAAATATAAGATGATTTTCCCTTCCCCAATTCAGTTGCTGATTTGACGAAAAAAATCATCTTCTTACAGAATAAATAAAACAATTCTACTCCTATATATTTTCAAATGGTTGGAATATCCATACAAGGATACAGATAGTCCTTGACTTACAACAATTTGCTTAGTGACTGTTCAACGTTACAATGGCACTGAAAAAAGTGACTTATGACTGTTTCTCAGAGTTACCACCTTTGCATCTTCCCCATGATCATGTGATCAAAATTCAGATGCTTGGCCACTGACTCATATTTATGACCGCTGTACTGTCCCACAGTCACATGGGTCACCTTTTGCGACCTTCTGACAAGCAAAGTCAATGGGGAAGCCAGATTCACTTAACATTTGGGTTACCAGCTAATCAACTGCGGTGATTCACGTAACAACTGTGTCAAAAAAGGTTGTAATGTAGGGCAAAACTCATTTAATAAATGTGTCACTTAACAACAGAATTTTTGGGCTCAATTGTGGTTGTAAGTCAAGGACCTGTATTGCTCTTGCACTTACCCATAGCAAAGCCATCATCAGTAAAAGCTGCGCCAATTTTGTTCTTTTTGTTCAGTTTCTCTTTGCAACTGATTGAGTGCTCTATAAAATTGAGTGCCTAAAAAGAAAGACTAGGGATTGCATGAGGTTGCCCAAATAATTACCCCAATTTAGTAATTCCAAAATAATAACATCAAACCAGAAGCTCAAAGAATGCTGTCCAGGTTATACCACTTGTGCATATTATTTCTGATGGCATCTCAGAGATATTCTTCAGGGCACTTTTAGTTCTGGAACATGACTTAATTGAAGCAGAAATATAATTTTAAATACAAATGTTTTGTAAGGTTATTATCTTAATATTAAAAAGTCAGGCCAGTGGAAAGTGCAATTAGCTATTTGGCCTCAAATAATTATCCAAAACCCTGAGCAGTTGTGGTGGCCTAGAACTGGAGTTCTTGTCTCATAATCAGGAGGCTGCAAGTTCAATCCTACGTAGCGACATATATTTCTCTCTCTGGTAACAAGTAATCTGCTGGGAACTCCACATAGGCATCAGGAAGGGAATCCAGCCAGTAAACGCTCAGCTCCAATCTCTCTCTCTCTCTCTCTTTCTCTCTCTCTCTCTCTCTGTGTATCTCTTTCCATATCCATATCTCAAACTTAGTCTATAAAGCACAGGCTCTTTCACTGGACAATTCCAGTTAGATGTCTTCTATGTTGGTAAATTTGATTATCTGTAAATGGATGCTTCTACCCACTCCTCAAATACTAGCTGTTTCAATATAGGATCATTTTACATTTGTGATCACTTTCCTATCTTTAAGTTGATTGTGCATGCTTTCATTATGACTGTGTATTGCTATCTTTGTGAACCACCAAGAGCCCTTCAAGATCGCTATGGGATATAAATGGATTAAGTAAATAAATAATTAAATATCACTTTTGTTATCCAAGAAGTCGAATAATGCAAATACTAACCAGTGGGGGAACAATGATATAAAAATTGCGTAGATGCATGTTCTTTGGACTGCGGAATTCAGGAGCAAAGACATCCACAAGCATTTTGAAGTACTCTGTACCTTCTGCAGAGCTGCAGGTGAGATCGCTAAGTACAGAATCCAGCTGCCTGCAAAGTAGAGATATAGCAACAGTCTGGAGGAAAAATGTCCTGGTCTTATACTGTTTGGGGATGGCCTATTCTTTTCATAATAATTACATACAGAAATTAAATCTGCTTCTTTCATGATGATCTTTAGCACCATTTTAAAGAAGTGTTCAAATCACTCCTTTGCTACCTTAAAGCAGCTTGCCTCCTTTTGAGACCACAGAAAACATTTAACATATTCCTTTAAAAAAAAAAAAAAGCCCAGCATGGCGAGCTGGGGAATTCTGGGTGTTGAAGTCCACAGGTCTTAAAGTTGTCAAGGTTGGACACTTCTAACTTAGAAGGATAACTGGAAGCTAAACATTATTCCATACTTTGGGGAGCCATCTTGCCAATTTTATAAAACTTATTGTACCAAATACAGCCGTTGGAAATGAATTAAAATCAAAATCCCATAATCGTGGGAACTATTTTCCAAGCTGTGTTTACAAGGTTGCCAAATAAATAACATGCACTAAGTACACATACTAAAAACAAGTTGATATCCTCAACTTGCTAAAGGAAGAAACTATTACGCATTCTTTTATCACTAAGCAATTTAAATACAATTACTGTATTTTTTTTTTAAAAAATACACACTTCTAATTATATAATATATAAATATCGGCTTGACAACAGAGTACTTGGGACATACTTTAATAAGCTCTTATAACATCCATGTAAGGTGAAACTGTAAGCCATCTACTTTAATGTAGGCAGTGGAGAATTTTCTTATTTTTTCATGCACAGTTTTAAACAGTAAGTTTAACAACATTTGGAGATGTTTAAAATAATGGAATGGAAGGACTGGAAATAAAATCTCCCACAGAACTTTGACAAAAGATCTACCAATTGTATGGTGGTGAAAGTAAAATGATTGAGGTATTGTATGCACTATTTTGAGCTTCTGGAGGAAAAATAGTCTATAAAACTAATGAAAGAATAAAAAAATATCAATAATTTGTATCCTTAGCTGTCTCAACCTCAGTAAACTTTGGCTGGAATTTTGCTAGTGAGAAAATAAATGACTAATCCTGAATGGAGTTCAACATTTTATTTTACTGAAAACTGTTTGAAAACGAGCAATGCAAGTAACAGTGAAATATTTTTATATTTGCATTACAATTACCTAGCTGCTTGTTGTGTTTCTTCTGACAGACCTTCTTCTTTCACAAGTTCTTCAAAGTTGACAATATCTTCAAGGTCAGGAACAAACCTACAAGTTTTGTCAGGTTTTCATACAATTAGACATTTTAACATATAGGTGTATGTATATAAATTAATGTAACTTTTCTATTTTACATGCTGTATTTCTATTCCCACCTTATCACAAGCTAGTTCATATTTTATTAGCAAATAACATTTCTTTGTTCTCAAAAAAGTACTTTTGTAACTTATTCTACATTAACAAGAAGGCATACTTCTAGCCACGTTTTCCAAGTTTGCTGGTATCAAGTCACAAAAGTGTTATGACATCTGACAGCAAAATGTCTATATTTATCATCATTAAATGCTCATTTGCATCTTGTGTTCTTTGTATTATTTACACTTCTATACTGACACCCAAACTTGCTATCATGTTACTATATTTTTTATAATTTTTACAAGTATTGAACTGTCAAATTCTTGAAAATTGAATATGAGTATGCAATATATTTACTAAACAGATGTAATATATATTTAAACACAAGAAACACATCCAAAGGATTACTGCAATATATGTTAACTGCAAAGAGAAAAATTAAAGCAGGAAGATCTGCAAAGATGTACAACAACATGGACAGACAAACTAAAAAGTATTGGTGCATACCTAATTGCACTGCTACAGCAGTGAAGTCCACCAGATCTTATCATTCGTACATAGCCCATAGCATTACCTTTAAACAAAGATAGTAGTATTTGAATTTATATTACAGAAACAAATATAACTAATTGAAATACTAGCAAGATGGATTTTATCATTTGTTAAATAAACATGCTGGGCCTATGTAGTAGAATTTATTCTTTTCAGCACAATTAAATAGCATTATTTTCTAATTCAGCTATGAGAATTGGACTGTAAGGAAGGCTGAATGCCAAAGACTTGATGCTTTCAAATTGAATCAATTGGAGAAAATTCTTGAGAGTCCCTTGGACTGCAAAGAGATCAGATCAATCAATCCTAAAGGAAATCAACCCTGACCTTTCTTTGGAAGGACAGATATTGAAGCTGAAGCTCAAATACTTTGGCTTTAAATGAAAAAAGAAGAGTCATTGGAAAAGACTCTGATGTTGAGAAAGGTTGAAGGCGAAAGGAGAAGGAGGAGACAGCAGAGGATGGGATGGTTAGATAGTGTCATTGACCCAATGAACATGAATTTAGGACTCCAGGAGACAGTGGAGCACCGGGGTGTGTGTGTGAAGAGTTGGTCACGACTTAGTGACTAAACAACAAAATTTTCAAAATTCAAAAGAAATTTACTCCATGCCGCTCCTATGCTCCTAAATTCCTGACTTTTAATCATGCTAGGACAATTTATTAATAATCTTAATAATTAATTAATAACTAATATTAATAATTAATAATCTACAGTAACTAGAGAGTGGCAAGTTGTCTATCCCAGCCTAAGCAGACATCATAAATTAGAAAATACATGGGCAGCAGTTATGTTGTGCAAAGACTGAGATTTTTAAAAGCCACATCTGCCTATTTTTTTCCATCTGCTTATAGATATAACACCACAATCCTAGTAACAAGGGACTGGAGGGGAAAACTGATTTGATATATTTATGTCAGGGATTTCCACAGGCCAGAAATTTCAGCATAATGACACAGACAGCTTTTTTGGTGCTGGCAGATTCCCTGCCATACCTGGCTTCTTACAATACATCAGTGTTTCTCAACCTTAGCAACTTTAAGATATAGGGATTTCAACTCCAGAATGCTGGCTGGGGAATTCTGGCAGTTGCAGTCCATACACCCTTTTTTATTGCTTTTAAAATAATGACATAGAATTTATCTTCATACCTATTTGGCTAATCAGTTGCCTGAATTGGTCAAGATAACTTTGTCCATCTGGTGTAATCCCAAGTTTTCTGATTCCCCGATTGAATTTCTCTGCTCTCTCAAATGGGTACTAGAAAAAAAATTGATAATATATTACAAACAAGCATTGTTTATGAAAAAATGATACCAAGCCCTTTTGAGTTTCCCATGTATTGATGCATTTTTTCTACTTTATTAATTTCTATATTCCTATAAAAAGAAGACATATATATATTGAAGATTACTTAAATCTTGTAACAACTACATTGTCCTTTATTTATAAAATATTTGTAGAAAACTTCTGAGAATAGCTTCCGCCAGGGCCAGGAGGATGCAAAGATGGCTAGTGCAGGTAGCCAGGTTCCTCAGCAGAAAAAGTGGCAAGTGTAGGAATGATTTACAGGAGCAACGTGTGACCTTCCTTGACAGCTTATTGATTTTGCTGACTATGGGACGCTGCAACTATCATAAGTTTGAGACAGTTGCCTATTCTCCTGATAGTGATCACCTGACTGCAGGGGTACTGGGATATCAGGACCTTTGAGGGCAAATCATAGATACTCTTTGTCCAGTGTCTACTTTGGACACTCGCTGAATGAGTGGTCATTAACTGAGGACTACCTTTATAGACTCATTAATGAGACAGAACTAATCTCTAAATTTTATGTGTATGCACACACAGGCTTATTTTAGAAGAAGTACTTTCTATCCTTGGTATTAATAACCATGATCGCTAAATAAAAATTCAGTCTTACTTTGGGATGGGTAATCTCAGGGATAAACAAAACAATGTCCTCAAATAGCTTTCTTGGCATGCATCACATTCTTTGCCTTACTGCTATCTTGTAACTTATCATGATACTTTCAGCAGTATTTGATACTGTATCAACCCTCTCATGGAAGTTGTTTTCTAAGCTTATTGTGCCCATCCGTTCCAAAAATTTGCTTATTCTTGGCTCAGCTAACTATTCTAAAGTATTACCCTAAAATTTCTTTCCAGAATAAATCTAAATTACTTATATGGGCTTATTTTCAAATAAGCAAATACAGGATTGTGTTCTCGGTGAATTTAAGTTAAAATTTTCCTCAAAAAGAGAACTATGAATCTATAAATCGCTTGTAACGTACCTTATGATCATTTTGATCTTTAATTTCCCTAAAGAATCGTATATCTTTGATCAATCTGGATTTGATGTGCTCATCATACATAAATTGACTAAAGATGTAAAATTTCTTTCTCAGAAACTGGTATGTGAAATTTACCTACAAAATATAAAACAAATACATTTTAAAAAACCCTATCTCTATTGATAAAAGCAGTATTTCATCCTCTCATCGCAATGTCCAAGTACTTGCTTATTGAATAGTTGCCTGTTATTAAATGTTAGCACTCAATCACGTTATGTTACACCATAGCTTCAGTATGTATGTACTATGTAAAGTGGGAAGGTGATATCAATAATTCCGCTATCTTTCTTGATGTAAAGGATGTGTAACCACACAAAAGCAGTGTTCTGTTTGCAGTAATAATATATAAATATTATTCATATATTATGAACATATGAGATTCAAGTGTTAACCTTGTTTACAATTCCATAGTTCTCCAGAAATGAATAAGTCTTGTTACTCTGAGCTATTTATATCCAACATTATTTGTGAAAAACAAACTGCAAAGATCATCCTTATTTGAAATTAATAGTTTCTTAAAAGTTGTACTTCTGGAGACAATCGGCTCCTGTTGATGCACCAGTTAAACATCACAAATTGGTAGGCAACACATTAGTAGTTGTAAAACCAATAGCAATAGTTTAGACTTAAGGCACATTGAAGAGACCAAAAACAGGTTTTTTATATATTTGTCCTGATTCTTCTAATTGGAATCCTTTTAAATAAAGATACCAAAGATAGTAACCATATTGAATATCCATTGGGCAGAAAACAAATTGAAATAATAATACCAGCAGCAACAGTACAATAAATGGGTTTGGAGAAATGCGACTAGCTTGGGCCACAGTGGCAATTCTGATCCCTTAAGCCTGCCTATAATTGCTTGAATTAACTCATGTTCATTCCCACATCTCAAAAACAGCCTGAAAAAGCTTGCTGCTATCTATAGTTGATATACAGTGATTCGTTGCATGTATCTACATGCATCTCCCTCCAGGAATGGTTACTTTTACATACTGCATGAGTAATTAACAATCTTTCACTTTCATGTATCGACTACTAGTGAATTATCCAGCAGAGATCTATTTGAAAGTTGCAAAAACTAGAAAGCTAAAGGAAGCTATAAACCCTCATTTGAAGTGAGAGCTCCAGCCCATGGCCATTCCTTTGTGGCGTGCATAGGGCTCAGTATTCTCCCCACTACATGAAATTGGGTGAGATCATTTGCCATCCTGGGTGGAGTATCATGAGTATGCTATGATACTCAACTTTGTATCTACACCCCTGATGATCCAAGTGATGCTGTTATTTCTACTATGATTAAAACGTGCTCTCTGCTGTTTATAATACACTTAGTAAAGAAATCAATGCTAAATCACATAGCGATACTTACTGTGGTGTTCATAATTCCTGTGCCATGTGTTCGAATTGAATTAGCTATGTGTCTTATATTTATTGTGTTCAGATGTTTGTTATTGCTAATTCTTTCAATGAAGATCTGCAATGACACAATTGTTGTATAATTTCAATAGTCATCAAAAGGATATCAGTTAATTATTGGGATTTTATCACTTTTCCCTCACCTGATTATTGAGATTGTACAGGTATCGGGATACAAATACATGAATATTTCTCATAATTTCCAGTACATCCAAGCCCTGAAACAAGTAGAGGCAATTGTAAAATCCAAATAAAATTATCTGAAAAACACAAGAAACATCTGGCCATCCAATCCAATGAAACAGGATCAAGTCCTTCCAGATCTTGCCTATATGGGACTGTCTTCCAATGGGATTTTGAAAGTGGGCATTTTTAGTTGCTTTCCCCATTCTTTGGAATTCTCTCCCCATGGAGATCTGGTCTGTTCCTTCCCTCTTCAATTTTAGGAAAACAATTGATAAAGGTTTTGTTTCATCTAGCACAGAAGGAGTGCATGTTGTAGTTGAAGACTGGAATTTGGCAATTTGGTATGTTTTCTGTTTCTTACTTTGATGTTATTAATTTTTGGAACAGAAGCCATACAAATAAAGAATATTTAAATACAATGAATTTATGTAAGTGTAGAAGAACGTTTGTTTCAAGCTAGAAAATGTAGTCACTTATTCGAAATTGGTATTTAATTTCATCCTTGAATAACAATTTATAAGCAATCACAATAAGAATATACCTCCAAAATGATAAAAATACAACCTATCCAAAAGCCCATGCAACTCGATTACATGTCTGTGGCATGTAAACTCAGAGCAATGTATTTCTTTTTATTTTGGGCTCAGCAAGAAGTCCTACTTAATTGCCTGTTCCCTAATACTAATAGCAGGAGTTCCCTAAAAGCAGAGAAGCAGGAATACCACTGGATTTTAAGGAAAAATAAATACTTAGTTATTAATTAGTGGCTGATAAAGCCACACTCATCTTCAGCCTTGATTTTTTTTAGCCCCTTTTGCATTTTAAATTTTATGTTTGAAATTGTTTTTGTATTTATTTTTCCTACATTGTAAGCTGCCCAGAGTCCCTTTGGATAGTGTATAATTTTAATTATCAATTTTAATAATAGCAATCAATTAATCAATGCACAAACTTCTGAATAACTTTTTAAAAAAAAAATACAGAACAATTTCTTTGTACACTTCATACCTGTTCTAAAGTCTGACTTGGAAGATGTGCTTCTGCCATAATTAAACCATAGCGCTGAGTTGCTAAATTCCTCATTTCACTGTAGGTAGCCCAGTCATGTAGAGCTACTGTAGTTAGATTGTAAAAAGTCTTGTCTAGGTAATGCGTCACATGAGCTGTAAAAAAGAGGGAGTAAGATAATTTAGCCCAATTAATACCGTATTTCCCCATGTATAAGCACCCCCTTTGTATAAGCCACCCCCCCCAATTTTTGGACTGTGAAGTTTTGAAAAAAATATTTTATTAGAGAAACAAGTTATGAAGAAAGAAAATTTACAAAGAAACAAAATTTGACGTCTAGATCTACAACTTCGGTCATGACGCCGAAAGCGGTGCGGGCGACGCTAGCAATCTACGCATCGGAACGAGAGTAGGAACGAAGCATTCAGGCCGATGCCTAGCGTATGCATTTCTATCGCGTACTCGCACTCGTAATCGTATCATCACATACAATTTTTACAAAAAAGTATAGCATACTGCTGGAAAACCAGTTTATTCCTACTTTATTATTTTATGCATTTTTCACGTATAAAAAGTGTACCTGCTTTGTATATGCCACCCCCCTACTTTTTGGGCTTGAAAATTTTGGAAAAAAGGGGTGGCTTATACATGGGGAAATACGGTATGTGAAAAACCTGCTTATTCCAGATAGTTCATTTCCGCATTAAATGATGGAGGAAATGCCTCTTAAAAGTAATTTCTCAAGTTACAGTTAGCATAAAAGTTGAGAAACTGAAAACAAATCAAGTAGATAAGTTTTGGAACTGTAACAATAGCAATAAATAAACCACCAGAGTCGTGCAAGTAGAAACAAACAAACAAATGTCTACCTTTGATATCTATGAACCGATTAAAAAAGCGAATTGGGTTTAAAAAGAAGAAGTGAGCAAGATCCTTCATTCCAACTTTGAATGGATTTCGGTCATCTAGTTTTAAGTGCGTGTGTACTGACAGGCGCAAATCCTTTTCGATTTCTTTGCATAACTTGTCTAGGAGGTGCTGCTTGAAACAAAAATGTTAATAAAGTTTATTTTCAGAGGATGGCATATCTTAATCTTCACAGCACACTGGTTAATAGATAAGAATTCTATAAAGCAAAACAAGATTGCACCTTCATAATGAACTGGAAGAAGAGTACTTGGCTCTGGCAATATTTGAAACTCGAGTTAAGAGATGGCAGCCCCCATAACAAAGAGGTAGGGTAGAGATGCAAAATGAATTTGACTTATGCCAAAGAAGATTTTCACCTGAAAAACTATCCACTTCAAAATGTCCTTTTATGTAAAAATTGTAATCTTGCAAGGTTCATCCCTGCAAGTAAGACAATTTCTCATGAGTGACCCCTTTTGGTTTTCAAATAATGTTCCAAGCCAGGATTATCAAACTCAAGGCCCACAGGCCAGATTGGGACTGAGGGGTGTTTAAATCTGACCCATGGGGCGGCAAAGGACCACAGTGTCTCTGGGTGCCAAAATGAGGCACGGGGGGGGCACATGTGGCCCCCGCACCCCATTTTGGCTGGCAGGGTGCTGCAGAAGGCATACGTCCCGTCTCCCCACCCCCTGACCAGCCCATGGAGAACTACAACGCTGATCGGCCCTCGAAGACATCCAGTTTGACACCCCTGTTCTAAGCCAGAAATATATTAAGCAAATACTGTAAATATCTATGATATAACATGTTTACCTTGTTCCGTACAGCTTAATTATTGGTCCCTGACAAATAATTATCAGCCATTTATGAATATTTTATTTAAACTGTAAGAATACATTATATGCATTAATTGTCTATCACAAGTTCCATCCTAAGAGCCAAGAGGGAGCAAATAGAAGATGGTCAAAATGAGAAGTTTGTGTATATGCTTTTATTTTTTTAAAAAAGGATATAGCTGCAACTAAATAATATCTTCTCTAAATGGAAACAATAACTGAGAAATGGTTTTAAAAAGAACCAAATAAACACATTTTTATTTAACTTCTAATAATTAAGAAGCAAATTTTATTAACTTTAAAAACCTGAAATTATCTGTACATATTGAGATTGATCATAATGACTGAAATATTAAAATTAAAATAGACATTTAATATTACTTATATATTTGGTATTTCAATTCTAATACAGCAAGATATCTTTCTGTAGGTCTACAATAAATTACATGTTAATTGTTACTCTTTAGCTTACTCATATCTAGTTACTAGACCACTGTATATTTAAGTTTATGTAGACTTCTGTTAACCCTTAATAGATTTGAACACACTCTCCTTATACAGGTGTAATTCAGAAGGAATACAATGCATGCACTCTAACCTTATTGAAAACATCCATGATTTCTCTGTCATAGCTTTCTAGGAGTATTTCAAAGGAATCCAAATGCCTTGAATGCATCATAGCTGGTACACAATCCCGCAATGCTCTAAACATATACTGAAAAAATAATCCAATTTAATGAAGAATTTAGACAACTATACATATTCACAGACACTAAAAAGTAAACATAAATTATTCAAAATCCAGATCCTAAATGGTGGCCCTCTAAAAGTGCATTTTGAAGGTTTGTTAGATGGATTAATTAGAAGAATGAGTCTCTAAAATCTTCCAGCTTGCATAATCTGTGTTTCTCCCTATTGTGTTTGCAAAAGATCTCAAACTATAAATTTGTTGATAAATTATAAATTTGTTAATATGAACTACATTCAATTAAAACTATATTGTTTTATAATTATGGCTTGTTTCCATCAAGCATAATTAAGATCGATAATGATTTATTTAGATTTATGAAGAGGTGATATTCAGCAGGTTCTGACCAGTTCTGGAGAACAGGTAGTGGAAATTTTGAGTAGTTCGGAGAACCGCCAAATATCACCTCTGACTGGCCTCGCCCCCATCTATTTTCTGCCTCCTGAGTCCCAGCTGATCGGCTGGGGTCTTCTTTTGTTGCCCTGCACAGGAGAACGGAGCTGGAAATCAGGTTAGTGGGTGGGGAGTGAATGGAATTTTGCAGTATCCTTCCCCTGCCATGCCCACAAAGCTACGCCCACAGAACCGGTAGTAAAAAAAATTGAATCCCACCACTGGATTTATGTTATATACATTAGCATTCTGATTGGGGAATTCTGAGAGTTGTAAGTCCACACATCTTAAAGTTGCCAAGATTGATAAACGGTGCACTGTTTATAACAATGGAATGAAAGCTACTGAATATTTTGTCACAGCTTTGCTTAAGAGGATGAACAGGTAAACCCAATTTACCTATCCTGACCCAATTTATTCAATCCTAACCATTATCCAACTCAGCCTCAAGTCCCAACTTCAAATGAACTGTTCTTCCTATCTATCATTTAAGCCAGGGGTGTCAAATTGGCGGCCCATGGGCCAGATGCATCACACACAGGCCATGCCTACCCCAGCTCCACGAAGGGAAAAAACATCATGAAACATGATGCGGCGAGTTTGACACCCATGATCTAAACTATGATTCAGGAAATAAATCTAAGACATGCTTGGTCTACTTTCTTTTTCCTCTTTTAATGTTTAGTTCTAGAACAAACTATATTTCATATATTACTATAGTTAAAAATTTGTAGGGTGGACTTTTTCTTATGAATTAAGCAATAGGTGAAATTGCATTAGAACTGCAGGTAGTCGTCAACTTATCTGAAATCATTTGTCTAGTGACCATTCAAAGTTACAACACAGAACAAAGTGACTTATGACAGTTTTTCACACTTATGACCATGGCAACATCCCCATGGTCAGATGGTTCAAATTTGAGCATGTGGCAACTGGCATGTGCTTATTATAACAGTTAACAGATAGTTGCACTATCCCAGAACTATGTGCTCACCATTTGTATCCTTCCCAACGAACTTCCAATGAGTAAATGGGAGAAGCTAGATTCTCCTAACCACATGATTCAGTTAACAACTCCCTTGCTTACTAATGGAAATTTTGAGCTCAACTGTGGTTGTTAGTCAAGGACTACCTGTACAACATCTCTGAAATTTTCCTGGCTGTTTCAGATTTAATGTTTTACTTACATGTAATCTTGCAGCATCCACTGCATTCTCATAAACATCATCCAGATAAATTGGAAATATTGTTCTGTGCCAGTACAAAAAGCAACAATCACACTGTGCTTGGACTCTAAAATGAAAAAATTAATGTTATTAGGAAAATAAATATTCATAATTCATACAGAACTAATTTCAAAGTACCATATTTTTACACAGAATGCATTTTACAATCTATCTTCATAATCGTAAGAGATAAAACTTGAGTTCTAAACAAACATACATTCTCAGGGATGCTGACTTCTATTTTTAAAGCTGAATTTTATAGTGAAAATATACCATCCAGTCTACAGCAAGCATCATTATATGACAAACCTTCTGCCACACCACCCTATTCTGGGTATCTCAGGATGTAAGACGTTATCATTTTATAGCTTTATTTACCGTTCCCTAAGTTCACTGATTAAGGCCAACTTTTTCATAACTACTTGAAGAGGAAGGAGTTCTTCATCTTTAAATGTTTTCTGGAAAAAAAAATAGAGGGGCAAGCTATTGGTTGCATCAGTTGCTATCAAACTAATATTTGCATCAGTCATTAACCATAAAACTCCTTATATTATTCCTTATAAGTAGATAAGACAGTTACACTCACCATTTGGGTGCCCACACTGAGGGCGAGAGAAACGATGAGTCTCCTCTGTTTTGTGCTAGGGCCATTGAGGGTGTTTTCAGCCAGCACAAGAGCGGAAAGTACATCAAGGCGCTGTTCACTGTACTTTTTGTCAGAAATTACTCTTTTCTTTAAATGATAAAGATAAAAGAATAAGGGGAAGGGATAGAGAAAACCATTTTGGGATTAATAATTCAGAAAACTCTTCAGCCAGTAAACTTTATTTCAGAGATTGACAAATACTGTATATTTCTTTTTTTAAATTCCAAGCTAAACCAGATTTAAAGCCAAAACAAATTAATCCAGTGATTAAAATTTACATACTAGCAAACCAAAGGATTCCTTGTTCCGCATTTTCATATCCAAATGAGCATAAATGATGTCACGATTTATTTTTGCCACTCTGAAGTTCCTTATAATTTATTCAAGCAGCTTGTCTAGTTTTTATAATTGCTGAGCTTAAAATCATTTGAAATTGTTTTCCTACCTTGGCTACAGCAATGGCATTGAGAGCCTGATGCTGAAGATGCTGAATTATATGTGTGACTGAATCAGCAACAGTCATACTTCTTCTGTAAAATGTATATTCTATTGCCTGAAGTTGTGCAAATTTCAGAGCACAAAATAAAAACAAAAGTTAATATCAAATTCTGCAATCAATCAGTTAATCAATTCTCACATGTATTGTCTCATCTGCATACAAAAGGTCAAATTTAAAACAAGTTTAATTAAAATGAAATATGATTTTTTTCAAACCAAAATTTCTAACATGAACTTTGAACTTTTATGAACTTTTGAAAGAAGCATCATTAAGTTGTATTAACAAATCATAGACTATGATAACATTACAAAGATTGTTAGATTTTTAGATAACTATATATTTTTATGTGTGTCCCATGAATACAAGAATACAAATATAGACAAATATATGTTTTTAAATTGCCATTTACTAGAAGTGTGCAATGTTTCACTTAACAGAATATTACTTCAAATTGTGAATAGCTGTTTGCAACTCTTGAAAGCATCTGTAGAGGGTGGCCATACGATCCTATGAAAGGATGCAGCTGCTTTAAAGAGCACAGACAGTTGCTAGATTCATATGCTTGTGCATTCTGAAGAATCATATTGAAGAGCTTACTGTTCAGTTTTGTCCTATGTCATTAATTAAATATGCATCATTTATGCTAAAATATTATTAAAGAACCATTGCTGATATTTGTGTCACTGAGGATATGCAAGCACCTTGACTTACTTTGAGTAGTTCCACAAGCCTGCATAATGCTTTAACTGAGGTTTTAGTCATTGGCTTCTGCATTGACATGTGCAGATTCATTGTAGTTGTGATTATGTTTCTAAGGCTGTAAGCATAGAGAAAGCCCTAAAAATGAGAAAAACGAATCAATTACAACTTCCTTGTGTCTTTATACATTTAAGTTTCTAAAACTGGTTGCATTTGCCAGTATCTTTGACTCTTTGTGGATAAGATCAATGGTAGTGCAATTTCTTCCCATATTCAGTGAGACACCTTCTGTCCTATGAATACTGAAGAAATTGATTCAGACACCTCCTGGCTCTTCTGGAGGTGCGTAGCTGGTGGTCAGTATCTTGATCTTGTTTTGAGAGGAGGTATTTTCTGTCATCTTGAAGAACGCTGTAGGTGCACCATCTCCTTAAGAAGTGTTCCTTAAATGCAACTATACCATACAACCACTGCTCTGTCTCCAACTTTCCCTTTTAGGAACTGTTGTTGAGGTAATGAGGTAAAGACAACTACAGAACACTCTGGAGTAAGCAAGCCATTCAGCCCTTTTCAGTCAGGACTGGGACCCACTGCAACTACCAGTGTCCATAGTATTCTTCCAGAGAATTTGCATGAATTAGACATTAGAGTCCAATTTTGAATCAACAATATTGTTTCGAATTAATAACATTGTTTTATGGTTATAATTTTAAATGTCAATTCAATCAATGGGTTTCAATTAATGCTTCAATTTTTAAAACTTTATTAATATATCAAAATAGTGACATATAAAAACATATTTTGGTGTCTACATATTGTATTTCTCAAGGCAACTTACTTACTTACAGATATATTATTTTATCAAGTTAATTGTTCAGGGTTTTGTTTTTTGTGTCTTACTAACATCACCATATAGTTTTATCTATAAGGTGAGTATCTTATAGAAGTTTTTTAAATTCTTACTTGAGACATATAATTCTATTTGTAATGATATATTTTATATCGGTCAATGACTGCAATAAAATCTATTCATTCATAATTTCTAATCAATTTGTGCATAAGAATGGGGGATTGTGTTATATGGATCTGATTGTATACTGTATATACAGTATTTTCTGATTGTTTTTTGAAACTAAGCATATACATACCTGTTGTGGCCCCGATTCCCGAACCTATGCTGTCAGAGGAAGAGGACCTGGAAGATGAGGAGGAAGAACTAGGAATGCCTTCCTCCCCAGGACCTTCCTCTCTGGCAATGCCTTCCTCCCCAGGACCTTCCTCCCTGGTAATGCCTCAGGTTCCATCAGACAACAGAGAGGAACAGCCTGAGATTAATCAGGAGGAAGGCATGTCGGAGCAGCCCCTGACAGAGAGTAAAGAGGAAGAGTGTTGGCTCGACCCTAAGCAGCGTCGTAGGGAGAAATGTGAGCAGCAACGTAGGAGGCGTGGGAGGGCCAGAGAATGAGCTGAGTCATTGAGCTACACCCCACAGGGGATAAAAGTGGGTGTGTTTTCTCCTTAAACTTTGTACGGGACAAAGTTTAACCTTACTTCAGATTTTCTTTGTGGACTGCCTTGTGATTTTATGTGAGTAAAACTTTATTTGCTATCAGTTCGGACTTGGCAGGCAGGACGTGGTGGAATGCCAAGAATATTATCAGTTGCAAAGAATTAACTCTGTGAAGTGTGAGCCAGCTTCCTTGCCTGTGTTTGTGTATGTGTGTACTCTTTCATCTTTTGGAAAAAAGGAAAGGCAAGACAGAACACATACCTGTATAAAAACATTGCATCTATTACTGAGATCTTCAGCAAACTTATCCATCCTTTGTTCCCTTGACAAAAGAGATTCCATTTTCATCATCCAGGAGCTCACAAATACATAATAAGTTTGCATCTCTCTAAAAAGAAAATGAGTAATAGTTTCTTAAACATTTTGAAACCATACTAAAATTTAGAAGGCTAAACGATGATTTGAAATGATCTCTGAATTCAGAAACAATGGCTTGTTATCAGTTGCCAAACCTACTGGGACAAAACAAAAACTTGTAGGGAAGAAAAAATAAGTGTTTACTCCCCAAACTTACTTTGTAAGTAACTGAGCCTTTTGCTGTAAAAAACTTTCTCTCTGTAATTTAATTGCATGAAAACTTTTTCTGTCCAGAAGCTTGGCAACAGCTGGCATCTTCTGAATCAAAAAGTTGTCAGCAAACCAAATGACATTAGCTGTTAGTGTGATAGCCGGCACCTAGAACATTAGCAGAAAATTTTAGGAAAAAAAGAGAAAAAAACTTTTAGAATAGAAAATAGATTTTCATAACAAATGTATTCCAAGACCCTTAATGAACCATTCTTTTACTACACAAATTTTTCAATTATAAAAATATTCTAATTTTACTTGCATTGTTCTGCTAAGCATTCCATGACATGATCTCAGTGTCATATAACATCAATTCATTTCCCAAAGTTATTTCCTTAGCATTTAAATACAGTCAAGCCTATACAGTATTTGCAGAAGAAACATGGACATGGAAACAGAAGGCATTTATAATGAGATAAATGAAAAGGAGATTTGATAACACCCCATACTAAGACTATTTACATGTCCAGATATTTTTATAAAGGAAGGGCTAAGCCATACATGACTAAATAATATCTCTCAGTGAAATCCATTTGTTATACAGTTATGACTAAACTATTAACTTGATAACATTTATTGTCAAACTACTAGCCATTCTACACAAGGGCATTATACCAAATAATGCACTTCATCCTTTACCAAACGTTCTAAGCATTATAGATCTGAAAATACGATTTTGCAGTTTCTTTAACTTTTGGTGGATATAAATTTTGTTTTGCACATCTCCTATGCAAATTTTCAAGTTATGACTTGAAAATTCTTATAGACAATTTGAGGGAAGGGTATCTATCATTTATGAAAGCAGTTCAATAAAAAAGTAACACCACAAGTGCCAATTTTTATCATTTGTGAAATGGTATTTCATTTGCACTATGACACTGCATCTACTGTTTAATAAAATGATGTAAATTGTTACAGGTATTTGAACTGTTGTATGCAAAGCCTTTTGTATTGAGGTCCACTAAATCAAGCTTTCATTCTAGTAAAGAGCAGGAACACTACTTGCTGCAATTATCAAAAAAGATTGAATATGATCATAAATTTAATTCTGGTTGTTATTTATTGCAATGTTATTCACAAACATCTAATTTTACATTGGTTATCAAATTCTAAGTTCGATAAAAGTTACAAGCAGTAAAATATTCACCTTTTTGCAAATGTCCAGTAACAATTTGTAAAATTTCTTATCTATAGTTCGAAAAATCTGAAAATGTAGTACAAAGAGTCCACAAATTCCAACATACTTATCTCTCTGATCAATTTCAGAAGGTTCACCTTAAAGAAACAGGCACAAAAATTAGTTTTTGAAATTTGCCAAAAAATATAGATTCTTAATATTAATATACTGTAAAAAGGTTCTGCTGTGCATTACCGAGTTTAGCTTCAACGTTTGCAAAAATTGTGCGAATACTATGTGCAAACTCTTCAGCAAATATGCTATTCTTTGACACTGACACACCTCCATTGAGACAGTCAAATTGTTGTTCTATACAAGCCTGAATAAGAGAAATAAAAGCAGTTTACAGTATTAGTATTGAGAACAAAATGATATTCAAAACTTCATTAAAAACAAATAATAGTATGTTATTCTTATTGTGTTCTATTGAAATAAAAGTTTTATTGGAAAATTAAGAGTATCAACATGGATTCATAGGGATTGTTGGTTGATCATCTCTGGTTTTTTTATTTTTGTTAGATTCAATTTTATTTTTGTTAGATTCATGGACTGAAACCTGCAGTATTTATGGGACCCATAGCCCATTTATTTTTATTTTGTTTCCTTCTTACCAGAAGTGAGTAAAACAGCCAGAAATGACTATAGTCTATATGATGTTCACCCACTGTTTTAATTTGTGTTTTTTCCAATAGCAATAGCAATAGATTTATATACCACCCCATGTTTTGCAGCACACCCTGGGCAATTTACAGAGTCAGAGGGTCTGTCTAGGACAACTCAGTGTGGCCAATTTGCTGCAATGAACTCGTCATGGTCAACTTGCCACGAGACAACTCATCACAAGACAACAATTACACTAATAGTGAAGAAATGGTGGAATAGAATTATTAAAGAAGAAATGTCAAAGGAAAGACAAAATGAAATGTGAATGACAAAAAATAAAATGTTTTAATTATTTTAAATAATTAAACTGAATTGGTGAATTGTCCGGTGGCATTGTCCTATGGTTAGTTGTCCCTCAGTGAGTTGGCTGTGGCAAGTTGGCTGCAGCGAATTGTCAAATTTCAGAGTCAGCATCTTGCCCCTAACAATCTGGGTCCTCATTTTACCAACCTCAGAAGGACGGAAGGCTGAGTCAACCTTGAGTCCTGTCAGGATTGAACTCCAATATCCTTCCCTTAAAAGTGAAATATTTTTTTTAAAAACAAGTGGAAACAAAAGCTTTCTGAACAAAAGATCCAGAAATCTTACCAACAAACTAATTTCTGGATGCACCTAACATTTTGACACCTAACATGTCAGAACGTTTATACAATTCAAAAGAGAAATAGAAGCTTACAAATTAAAACCATCAAAACATATGGCAATTTTACACTATAGATTTTACTGTATTGCACAATTTTACACTACAGATTCTACAGGCCACATTTTCACTCCATAAAGAAAATTAGACAGTATTTATCATACTACCTGGAATATCATGCCATCCAATAGCTGACTTTCTAATTTTAACAACAATTTTTCAAATGGTTTCAGTTTATCTTCTTGGATTCCAAATTTAGGAGGATTGTGGTGGACAGATTTTAATAGCCTGGTCAAAGAAAAGAGGAAAAAAAAATAAAGGAACATTCTTTCATGGAGTCTTTCATGGATATCCCAAAGGTGTTTTTTCAGGAGGCAACTGGACTTTCTTGGTTTTTCTTTGAAGACATTTTGCTTCTTACCCAAGCTTTTTCAACTCTGACTGGATGGTGGGGAATAGAAAGATTTATATTCTTTGCAGACAGCTGGTCATTTGCATTCTTTTAGAGAGTCACTGAGGTCACTTGGAGGCCCCTTGGAGATCCTCAAGTTATGCAAATGGATTCTTGGCTTCAGGATGTTTTCTGCCATGTGTCCTTTCACTGTTGAAGACTGGCGCACGCTGTTGGAGATGAGTCTATGTTGTCTGCATCTCAAACTGAAGCACAAATGGTCCCTACAGCCTGCAATTTTTCTGGAAATCCATTCATACTCCCACACCAGTTGCCTCCTGAAAAAGTACCTTTGGAACAACTATGACCTGGATGATTGAGAATCTCCACAGACTCTTTCATGGACACAATTAAGTTTTAAGAATTTTCAGAGGGTTTAATGTTAAACCAAGCATTTTTTTTTGTTTCTTTTTAACAAAGAAATATTTTGTTATAGAAGTAGCTTTTCAGTTTGACTGCCTTCATGGGGCAGCAGGCCTGTGGAACAAGACAGATTTATTTATAGGTCTAGCCTAGGTAAAAAAAAGATGGTTATCTACATTATGGCAGAAGGTATGTGTCTAAAAGGGTCATTCAAAAATATTTCATAAAGGTTGGTCATTGTACTAATATCTCTATGAGTCACCTTGTAGGGGAGATATGTGGCATAAAATTTAATTAATAAATATAATATTAAATGTTTATCATCAAATAAGCAATATTTAATAAATATTTAATTAAATAAATATTTAATGATCCCTTCCACCAAAAGTGCCATCTTGTTGGATCCAAGCTGTTTCTTCTCAGTGGCAGTACCAGCCCTGAGGAACAGCCTTGACCTTGTTAGTTTTTTGAAAGATTCTGAAGACTTGGCTATTTTCTCCAGGGATCTGGAGATTCAGTGAGCCTCACTGCTTATTATGCATTCTTTTGTGATTGGGGATTACTTTAGGCTCATCAGTTTTATGCTTGGTCTTTAATTTCTGTAGCCCACTCAGAGTCACTTTTGGTGGCCATGTGAATTGCATTAAATAAGAGAAAGAGAGATAATAAATATCAATTATACTATAATGTCTTATGGAGATTCTCAGTCATCCAAATCATAGTTGTCCCAAAGGGGACTGGACTTTTGATTTTCCTTGAAGCTGTTTCGCTTCTCATTCAAGTAGCTTCAGAACTGAAGAAGCCTCTTGGATGAGAAGCAAAATGTCTTCAAAGGAAAGCAAAATCTAAATTTAAATTTTGCCTTTTGAAAAAGCACCTTTGGGATACTAATAAGGAACTGCAAGATCTCTTAGAAGTACCTAATAGAACTGCTACAGTCCACTCAAGACCCATTGTTCTGAACAGATATACTTTTAACTATCTTGTTATTTTCTATAGTGTTCTATAATGCTCTATAATAAACGTAATTATTTTTCTATAGAAAAAAATTAGCAAAATTTACCCACGTACCTTTTGTACATAGTCCAGTGATCTTTCAGGGTGGCATGATTATTTACTATCTCATCAAGTGTAAGTAAAACTGTCAGTAGTTCTCCAAGATGCTCGTACATAGTCTGTTTGAAAAATTATATCAGTGATCTGAGAACATATCCCACACACCCAGCAAAACTTACTTTAAATAAACAGGATTGCACTCGAAATATCCCCCTGAAAAATACTAAGCACTACAGATGTAAATATGAAACATATAAAATGGTAACAGTATTGAATATAATGCGTTCTTCACTTTATTTTTTTAAAAAAACTTACTGGGAAGTAAGGGATTCCCCCAAAACAGACATTCTGGACTATTAAAGAACTCAATACAATATCATTCTTAGTATTTTAAAAAATCTGCCAAGGAAGATTTGATATATTTAAATCAAACCTTAAAGTTAACAACTTAAAAGAATTTTGTAATAAAAATAAAAGAATTTTGTATAAAAATAAAACTTTACCTGAAAATGAACTCCTGAAGTCTCTATTACTTTAGGTATATTCCTGGAAAACAAAACATATTTCATGTTACTTCATAAACACATTTTAAAGACCCAAGCCTTTAGCATTTCTAAATAAATCTGGAAATCACTTTCAATGTGTAATACATATATGAAAAGGTAATTCTTGCAAACTGAGACCTACTAATATAATTAAAATTAGAATCATGTCCCACATAATTATGGAATGTAGGCCTATTCAAGTGTCGATCCAGAAAACTAAACATTACTCAACAGCCAAGTATGCTATTCAACAATTTTGATCCTAATCCACTGTTTCTACAATGCTAACCAACTGTGATTCCAAAAACACTATGGTGATGTAATTATGCAACTTTTGATAATCCATAGTGGAGAACATTCAGTTTGGTGCAGCAATTTATACATGATGATTGGAATGATGCCTTGGCTTAATTTACTAATCTTTTGTTTAACTCTATATTTTAAAATATTTTAAGTTTTATTACAAAGAGCCTGATTACTAATCTCATCTGTTAAAAAAGCATCTTAAAAAGATGAACTCAGGAGAGAATTGCTGCTTGCTAGAACAGTTAAGAGACTACAGATGCAAACTACTTGCAAGACAGTCAATACCTAAACTTAGATTAGGAAATACTGTAGAGCAGTGGCTCTCAATCTTTTCTTCACCAGGGACCCTTTTGAAGTACTTTTTGGCCAAAGACCATCAAGATTTAACTGAAGATTTAAATAATAACATTTCTTGAAGCCTTTGTGGACCCCCTGCGTGGACATCACAGTCCCCCAGAGATCCAGGGATCCCAGAATGAGAACCACTGCTGTAGAACTTTCCAGAAATCCAAACATTCTAGCCAATGTTTTTAATATTTTATGAGGGCTGGCCGATCAACAACTCATTTAAGAGAATGTGTCACAGCATGCTTTTGGCTTGTGCAAGTGTACCATTCCTTTGGCACAATTACAAAAAAAGGATATGGAAACATTATCTGCAACTTGCCATGTTAACAAATTAAGAATAATGGAAATAATATACACCAGTGATGGCTAACCTTTTCATCATTGCGTGCCGAAAATGTCCATGCACTCATAATGTAATGCGCACATGACCACCCCCCCGCCCCGAGTATGTGCGTGCAAACCCCCATGCACCTCTGCGCAAGCGTGCACAACACTCCCCTGCGCCATGCGCCTCCCCCACGCATGTGGGGAAGATACCCAACAAATCAGCTGGCTTGCAGGGGGCACGCGCATGCGCAGTGGGTCTATTCCGGGCAACGGCTCGTATGCCAGCAGAAATGGCTCTATGTGCCACTTCCAGCATGAGTGCCATAGGTTCTCCATCACAGATATATACTTTCAAACCTATATAGTCAGCTTGTTTTCACCTAAAATTACATTAGTTTAAATGGATGCTTCTGATACATTACATGATTTTTATAACAACACAGTGTGATATAGTATTACAGGGACTTCTCCACTTACAACCATTTGTTTAGTGACCATTTAAAGTTACAGCACTGAGAAAAATGACATATGACTGTTTTTATGATAACTGTTGCAGCATCCCAGTGGTCATGTGAACCAAATTTGGACACCTATGACAGTTGCATTGTTGTAGTCGTGATCAACTTTTGCAACCTGACAAGCAAAGTCAATGTGGAAGCCAGATTCACTTAACAATTGTGTTACTAACTTAACAACTGCAGTGATTTGATTAACAAACTGAGGCAAGAAAGGTGATAAAATGGGGCAAAACTTACTTAACAACCACCTTGTTTAATAATGGAAATTTTTGAGTTCAAGTGTGATCACAAGCCAAGGATTATCTGTACATTGAAAGATGATCGGACATTTTTTATGAGTGCAAAGATCAGTAGGACCCAAAACATTCCCCTTCCCCCCGGAACTAATAATTTAGAAAGCTGATTAACATGCGAGACCTATAATTTGTTCTTAGCTAGCAAATAATTACTTGTTACTGGTATAAAGGGCAGCTAATTGGTGTACTATGTTCATCACCACTTCATAGCATCGTGTCACAAAACAAGACAGCTCCTGCAATGATAAAGTCGCACTGATCAGTAAAATAAAACAATTTTTCAGTAAATACACTTATTTTACTCACAAACGATTCCATTATTACTGAATGAATCCCCTACCTTTCTATCTGGGAGTACAAGGTGGCAGTCATAAGAAGTCCTTCCTCATTTTATCCTCCCAAGAACAATCCTGTAAGGTAGGCTGAGCTAAGAGATTGCAACTGACCCAGTGATATCCATGGTGAAGAAGGAACTTTGGCACATGCATGTATTTTAAGAGCTAAACCAACTAGTCATAAATGACACGAGAGATTTCTGGAATACTTTGTTTGGAATGGTATCCGATCCCTTTAGCTTTAGTACCTCAATGCTTATTTCTATTTTATACTGCATAGCCTATAAATGCTTAATAGTTTATGTTCTGCACTGTTGATGTATTGTCTAATTCTCTGCATTTAATTCAACAAAGAAAAACATCATACTATGCAGGTGTTTTGAACTTTGACTCCCTGCAACTTCAAACATCATAAACAATTGCAAAGAACAAAACAAAAACTGTGGAAGCTAAAACTCAAAACCCCTGGAGGATATCAGATTTTTTTATTTAGCCTCTTCAGAGATCAATGTCTGAAAGTAAAAACAGGCAGCAGCACAATCATTAGTTATTTAACAACTGCATAGTAGCAACCATGTATTGCTGTAACTGGCTCTGGAGCAGGAAATTGAGTAAGAGTCATTTACGCCTCCACCTAGAGAATGAATCTGCATCTATATTTTCTGTTCTGTGGAAACAGATTTACTTTAGAAAGTTTCAAAAGAACAACGGTAAGAAGGTGAAAAATTTAAATTGTCTGAATTTATCTTCAAATGAGATGAAAGATTGACTTTTAAAAGATTGCCATTAGGTTGCAGTGCTGGAAAAGCTGTATTAAAGCAGGAAGCTTCAGGTTCAAGTCCATCCTCAGCCATAGAAACTCACTGAGTGAATTTGATTCAATCACTTTCTCTGAGCCCAGTCTAGTTCAGAAGGTTGCTGTTGTGAAGATAAAATAAAAGAACATCCTAATGTAAACATTCCCTGAGCTTTTTGTGATAGGATATACAACAAATAAATGAAGAAAATTAGAACTTATTCCTCTGCAATTCTAAAATGAAAAATGCAAACAAAATCTAGTAAATTGAAACTAAAAAAAAATCCAGAAAGTTGACTTCAAGCTCATTTTACTGCCAGATAATTTTTGAAAAACCAACTCCCTTTTTGTTAAGTGATGCTTAGAAAAAAAAACCAATCACAAGGTACTGAAATTATGCCAAAGGCAAAGGCATGACTACGAACTACAGACAGCAAATTCAAGTCCTATTAATAAATATATTGTTTGTTTTCATCAAAAACATTCTCTTTTAAGATGTTTCCCGAGCTATACTTGCAGCATTAACTAAAAGTGATTCTTCAAATAGCTAGTTTCTACAAAACATAGAATTTTATACTATTTCTAAAAGTCAATTTCCACACTGCATATAATTATTTTCTGATTTTCAAGGGAGGGAATGCCCACAACATTGAATCCCTTATTAGAGGCACCAATAGAAAGTAGAGAAACAATAAGGAGTAGATTCATGGTCTGCCATTGCATTATCACCTGAACTGTCTTTTCCTTATATACCCAAACCTATCAGAACTGTTGAAGTCTTGTTGCTCCTTTTCTTTTCAAAGGCATACAGATTCATCTGCAGATGGGGAGTGTTTTAATCCACCATTGACACACTACTAATAGATGTATGCCAGAGTCTGTTATAAAATCTGCAAAGGGTGGTGGACAAAGAAAAGAGAAAAATAGAAAGCTAACAACAATACAACACCACTTACTTCCAATTCACCCAAGGACATTTACCTAAATCACTTTTGTTGTTGGCATGGGGAAAAAAATCCCACAGCACAATTACAAAGTCAACCACTTAGCAAAGAAAAAATTCTGCAAAAAATTGGTACTATAGATATTACCTGGAGAAATGAAATAAATCTTCCCATCTGTATTTGACTCTCTCCTTCCACCTTACTAGAATCCATAGCTTGAAAAATAAACATGAAAATTACCCAACTTGGAGAGAATACAATCATTATCAATCAATTATCCCTAAGTTATACTACAGCCATTTTTCCCAAGTCATAATTAAAACATAATTCCAATGGAATTCAAATGAAAAGCTTATCACAACACACAGCATTCATGTTTAAATTCTACTTTATTATCCTATACCATGCAAAAATTACCCAGTTCATGAAAAGAAACAAGGGGAGGGATTTTATTCTCTTACAGATTTGGCCATTTAGATTTATTTGCTTGGACGTTTCCCAAATAAATGTGCTTGAATTTGCCAACCTTCTTCCCAATCCCTGCATCTCAGTCAAGAAGCTATTGATAAAACAAATGTGACTTGTGCAGTTGTTTCAACACTCTCTTTGCTTCCTGCCAATAATCAACAGTGCCTTGTTTTCATTTTGGCAACATCTCACTACATGTTTCAAAATCGGGCATGACAAGAGAACAAACATCATAAAGATATTACCTGCTTAAAGTAATAATGGTTCATGTTATATTATTAGAAATACATACACATAAACAGAGAGACACAGACTCACCATTATTAAAAGTCTGTTACTGAAGGAGTGTTAATTCCTTCTAAGTGTTAATGAGCTAATAACAAAATACAACTCTGAAAGCTGTGCATATTCATTATACTTTGGATAGAAAACAGATAGTCAGCTACTGAAAATATTCAATACTGGTCAGGCATTTCTATCAAGTGTTTATAACTTCTGTATTGTCTGCTCACCATTTGGGCATTAACATTCTATTCATCACAAGATCAGCTTTAATAGAGATATTTCATGGCTTATTTATCAAAGCATCCAAATTGTACTTCAGCAATGAAACAATTGCTTAAGCATGTCATCAGTATTACCGTATAATTTCAAAGTTCTAAACTAAATTACAAATCATTTCCAACATAAAAAATGCAAAATGCATGGGATGAATGGTCTACCATTGCTCTTCATAAATATATTTTACACACACAAGAGGTAAAACTAGCCCATCCTATTTCAGAGGATGCTACTTGCAGGTTGTTCCTATCCTATAGCTATCGTTAGTACTGAGGCTGGAAAGAATTCCAATACTTATGCTTTGCTTTTCCTATCTTGGTATATTGAACAAAGATTTAAGAAAGCATCTTTAAAGTTTATTACTGCGTACAGAATTTTAGAATAAATGTGTCCCATACAGCATAATTAATATACAATACTTACTTCCTTCACCATAAAACAGGAGGCCGTTATAAAACTTCGTTTCTGCCTAGGAATAAAAGCAGAATTTTTTTCTCTTGCACAATAGTCTATATAGTTTTAGATGATAAAAATGCATGATTCCATGATTATATATCAAATATGACTAAAGTATGTATGTAGAGGCTTATACATGATACAAGAGGTAAGAGAGATTACCTCATGTTTTAACTTTTTGATTTCACAGCAAAGAGCAGCATATACAGTGATGACTTTGTTCAGAACCTGGATAAACAAGAGAAAAAAATTCCAGGTTACTTTTATAAACAGAATAATTTTATAAATATAAAGGAGGGGATAGAATGTAGGTATGATATCATCTGTCTCCATACAAACATTAATAGAGAAATAAATACGTTTAATTCAAAATGGACATTTCAACTTTAAGAACTGGGGACTTCCTGAAACTGATCCTTATCTCTTTGTCACAGCTTTTAGATTATAAACCTGGGAGCAGAGAATATCTTGTTTATTACTGATTTTTGGCAAGCAGCTCTGGAAATATTTCTAGTGAAAGGCAAGGTAAAATGATTTAAAACTTATAAACAAAAGATATATTTTGCAAAGCACAAAAAGCAACAATGCGATATGTTTGTAATGCGTTTTTGACACTGAGCCACATACCTTGTTTTCTGTCTTTATGAGTTCAAGTAAGGAAGACTGTTCATAAGGCAAAAGCTAAAATTAAGCAAAAACACAAATAATTTAAGGGAAAATCAGAGATTTAGAACATGATTGTTTTAGCTAAATCAGGGGTGTCAAGCATACATCGTCACAGTGTCATCACATGACATATCGGAACTTTTTTCCCCTTCACTAAACCAGGTGTGTGTTTGGCCAGTGCGTGACACATCTAGCCCATGGGCCGCAAGTTCAGCCCTGAGCTAAATGAAACAGGAAGCTTAATCCAAACTGCAATTACATAGGACAATCCCTGTATTATACTCTGAGGAAACAAGTATCATACCGGACAGCCAAGAGATCCTTTACAAATTTCATTCTAAAACTATTAAACAGTTGTCACTGTTTGTGGTTGTCACAAGCTAAATAGCAACAATAGACAAAAACTTGAAATATAAATATTGGAATGGGGTGGAAATGTTATACCTTACTTCTAGAAGTTTATTTAATGAGTTAAAATGCTATCTTACCAGAGGCATAGGAAAAATGAACATATACATACATAAAAGGATTTTCCCCCAACTAGAATATTTTGGTGCATGCATAACAAACGAATAGTTGAACTATGAACAAATACACCAAATAGCATGGGGAAAACTACAAATGCTTCTAATGATGGCCTGAAGCCAAAGTAGCCTACAACAAAGTGCATGGCGGCAGTTAAATATTAATTATTCAACAGAAGGTGGTTCTAGACAGATGGCTCTCAATGTAATTATTCAAAAGATCAGCACGTAGGTATTCCCTCTTCAGTGATGTTAGATTAATCAACAGAATTTTCAGCCTGTACCAGAAGGGGAACTAGGAGGAAAATCTAACATAAATAGGGCAATAGGCTGGGGAAAGTGGCTCTGAATGTCTGATCGCTTTATAAAATTCTGTGCAAGTACAGTGTGTAATTGAATAGTAAGAAGCTTGAGTAAAATGACATAGGCACATAAGGCTTACACATACATTTAATGCAATGGGGTCAAGATTGAAGTCCCAAACATCTCCAATGGAATCATCCAATGCATCTTCAATTCTCTTTAGCTGGGAAGTATATGCTTCAAGGAATTTCCCATAGTTCTTTAACTGCACTTCAGCGTGGATTTCTACGAGTAAACAGTATTTTCATTATAATATTTGGAAATACACTGATTAAGCTTGGAATCACAAAATTTACCTACATATATTCAAGCAATCACTTGTTTATTTTTTAAAAATCACTCAAAATCCCCTCTTCCATTTTCTTCACAGAGGTTTTGTGCTCCCAATCTGTTATTAATCAAGGATATATAATAATAATTTTAATATTGTAGCAAAAAATATTTCACCACAAATCAGTCATTCTGCTGTTTTGATAATGGAATTTGTTGCAGGAAGATTTATGAAACAGATTTCACACACTAAAGATCCAGTGAAGTCTCCCTAAAGCAGTTTTACATTGATGGGTTACATTGTTTTACAAGTTTTACACTGATATTCCAACCAACTGAAGGGCACAGGCTGGGAATGCATGAACTATGAACCTCATTATCAATCTGTAAGAAGGTACTTGCATGTTGCAGTTTTGTAGTAGTATAAATAAACATTCTTTATTTAAATGTTTAACCAATGAACTGGAAGTACAACATGCAAAACAGGAAGCTGTTTTTCTTTTTACACACTACTAAACATGGTTGCTTACAATAAATCACTTTCAATTCCTTTTAGTGCCTTCAACCAACCAGACTGGATTTTAAAAGACTCAGCTGCTTTATGATTTCAGCAACAATATACAAGTGAGTTAGAGATGTAAATGCACATTCTATTCTCCTTTTGGCAAAGCAAGTTATAACCAAATGTCAATGCAAAGACAAAACTACTCAAATAAATTCATTATATTAGGACATTTTCTAGGTAACTATTATGCAATATATTTGATAAGATAGTTTTGTAATTAAATATTTTGTAAGTGACAAAATATGTATTTTATGCATAATTTAAAACATATGCAAGTGTACAGAACATTTCCAAGAATGGTATATATTCCAATTAATATTCATATCATGTGTCATGCCCCTGGTGGAGACTGTCTCTGAGGAAGAGGAGGAACAGCCAACAGGGAGTGGAAGTGAGGCTCCAGAGGTGGTGGAGGAGACTGGGAAAGGGTAGAGGCCGGCTGAGCAGTCAGAGGAGGACCCAGGCCCATCCCCTATCCATCCTAGGGCACGCAGGGAGGAAAGGATAAGAGAAAGACATGGTCTACTCAGGAGATGAGGGCCATGATCCTCTTCATGGGTTGCAGGTGTGAGACCTGCATAAAAGTTTGGACCTGTATGCTAACAGACGCTAGAGACAAATTAGTGTTTTATTCCTAAAGAAGGTTTATCTTGGTTGGTGTTCTTCCAATGGACTCTTCCTGAAGTTGGCAATTATCTATCCTGGTCTGTCGTGGAACTTTATTCAATGCAGTTTGTTTTTGGTTTTTACTTTGTTATCGCCTCTTTGAATTTGAACTGGGTTTCTTTCCTTTGAAATGTTATTTTGAAAATAGTTTACTCCTCCACTGTGAACAATTAAACAGTGAAGCCAAGTTGAAGGCATTAAAGGATTTTTAGTTACGTTTTGGGTTTTGTTATATTTCTGATATACTCTGAGTCATCACACCATGTTAACATCTGCAGTTCATGCATATCTGTAAAAAAGTTCCAAAATATAAATGAAACAGACTGCCAAGTCCCAGTTTCTACAAATTAAGGAGAGAGATGCATATACCAAGTCTCTTATTTCAGCATGACTTCATATTTCAGCTAAAGCAGAGCTCAGCTGCAAGAATATTGTCTCTATCCCCAAAAGAATATGTAAAATATGGAGAATATCTGCCAATTGCCAAAAATAAAACAAAAATAAACTAAACTATTCTGGAACAATCAAGTGAATCAGAAGCCAACAGAAAGCAAAGAGGAAGTAAAGTCCTATCAGCAGGGAAATTGCTGTCAAAGAGGGAAGAAAACATAATCTCAACTGGGAAGAGGGAAGGGCCTGTACAGGAAAAACATTCTACCATCATAGCAGCAGAAGACTAACATTTAGTTCTTATAAGTTATACAGGTAGTCCTCAACTTACAACAGTTCATTTAGTGACCAAAGTTACAACAGCACTGAAGAAAGTGAGCTAAGACCATTTTTCACACTTATGACCTTTGCAGCATCCCCATGGTCACATGATCAAAATTCAGATGCTTGGCAACAGACTCATGTTTATGGCTGCAGTGTCCAGGGTCACGTGATACACCTTTTGCAACCTTCTGACAAGCAAAGCCAATCGGGAAGCCAGATTCACTTAACAACCATGACACTAACTTAACAACTGTAGTGATTCACTTAACAACTGTGGCCAGAAGGGTCGTAAAATGGGGCAAAACTCACTTAACAAATGTTTCATTTAACAACAGAAATTTTGGACTGAATCATAGTCATAAATTGATTACAATAGACATTATACCCTGTTACATTATTGCTAGAGAAAATTATCTTGGAATTAATGAAATATGCTATGGAGATATTGCTCTTTTACTCAGTATTCATCTGAACTACTTCTTACTTCATCATTCACTACCACTAAAACAGATTAGACTCCTAACCTCATTTATAAAAATGCAGTAGAAATAAAGAAATTTTTTATTCTCATCCTATGCATTATCAGTCCTGCATAGGGGAAAATCTCAATCATATTCAGTATAATACTGATATATATTCAAGAGGCACAAATTATACTCCTTTCAATCCAAATTAGGCATCCCTTATATTCATGGTTCTCCGTAATTATTATCTTACATTTCTTTCAAACTTGAGCACTTTTAGATAGGTAAATGCAGTTATGGGACCATTCCTCCAGATTGCATCAAGACAAATTCCTTGTGTGTCCAATCACACTTGGCCAATGAAGAATTCTATTCTATTCTTAATTAATCCCCATAAAAAAAACTCCATAGTTTACTGTTGAACAAAAGTGCTTTAAATCAATTACAAAGGTCAATCATTTGAAGGCATGTTAGCAAAAAAACAAAATCTACAAATATTTGCCATGTTCTCAATCTTAAATTTTGCCCTCAAACATGTTAATAATCATCTACAGAAATTAGGGTCTGCATTTCCATTTCAAAATACCATTAAAATTATTCATTTTTAATAGTTTAGTGGGGGGGATTGGGCCCTTACAATAATGTAAGGACCGAATAAGGACTAACGCAAGGACCGAATAACACAAACGGGGCAGTGTGTGCTATCTTCCATAATTCACTTGAAAGAGGAATAAGATTTCACAACAACTTTTTAACCACGAACTTTCCTGCTTCGGACAAGAAGTCCTGTGTGTGTGTCTGTTGCATATCTGGGGGTTTGACACGGGGTTTCATCTTTAGGCAAAGCAGAGTGTGAACTTTGTGTAAGGGACCCAAACTATCTTTTTAACACACACACACATCAGCCACCTTGACTGGGAAGAAACGGATGGACGAAAGAACGTCCTTTTGCCCCACTCCACCCCACACCGCAGACAATGGACAAGCTCTGGACGCAAACTAAGCTCCTTCTTTCGGTCCGGGAGGAAAGAGTTAAATTAATCCCGGAGGAAAGACCCATTCATTCGGCGGGACGCGGGTGGGCGGAAAACCTTTCCACGGAGAGAGCTTGGTCATTCTCCCAAGAAGAGCCGGAGCACCATTGCAAGCCCCCCCCCTCCGCAACCTCTCCCTTGGTTTGCCCTGATTCGGAGCCAAGGTTCCCGCTGCAGGCCTTCCCCACCCCACCTCTTACTCTGAGAGCCGTCGTCAACGCGGTCGAATTCCCAATCCGCCGAGAGGGTCTCCAGCGCCATAACGGACCCACAGTGGTGGCGGCGGCGGCAACAGGAGCACCGCTCCTACTACAAACACGGGATTTCCTGCCACGCCCGCAAGGCCTATTGGGCAATGTAGTTCTCAAATTTAAAGAAGGGGATTAAAGGAAGCTGAACGGAGAGCGCGTGGCGCGCTTTTCGATAGCGGCTCCTGGCGGATGAGGCGTCGATAATCTGTAAAAAGGGTGGCTGTGATTACTTAGGTGGCGGGTAGAGGGCGGTATTGTTCAATACATAGCTTTTACACACAAATAGCGAATCTTGTGACTTTTGATTATATTGTAACATTCGTTCCTGGCCTAAAGGAAAAGGTTGTGGTTCTTGTTACTAATAGTCAACCCGGTCTAAAATATGCAGTTCCGTATAAATGGGGCCAGTTTATAATACAGGGTTCGTGCCTGATGAAACACGAGGTCAATTCTCTCCTGGTGCATTAAGCAACAATTCAGAATTCTCAGCTATTATATCCTGTATATTGGCAAACAATGTAATATTGGAGAAAGATAACAAAAGCCAAACCTTGACTAGATCTTAATGATGGTGATTTCCCTCTTTGAGTCCTCAAACCTTTACCAAATAAATACTTGATACAGTTGACTACAAATGATTTGTTTGGTAGGGAAAGTGATATGTCAAAGGCATTAAATGGAACATGTGCTTAAAATGTTAGTGGCCCAGAAAAAAAATGATGAGAAGCTGTGCCAATGTTGAAAAATGGTAATGCTAGTCCTGAAAAAGTACTAAAATATGAATGAATGCTTATGAAATGGAGTTTTCACATATATAAAACTGCATTTATGCCTGACGATTGGAAGAATTATGCTGTTGTTGCAAAACAGAATGAATGCAAAAGTTATAGGGTGGGGTGTCAAACTCAAGGCCCATGGACCGGATTTGGCCTGTGGGCATCCCACAGGGCCACCCTGGAAACAGCAAAGGACCGGCCCACAGTGTCTCTGCCAGCTAAAACAGAACTAGGGAGGGCCATAGTCGGGAGGGCTCTGTTCTCTCTGGCAGAGGGCTGCAGGAGGCTGTCGTGGCCAAAAACAGCCTCCCTGGGCTCCATTTTCACTGTCAGAGGGCTAGCAAAACCAACAAAAACAAAACAAGAGGAGAAATGTTTCCCCTTTTGCATTTGAGCATGCAGGAAGGGACAGGAAAGGAAAAAGGGAAAGAGGAAAGAAAAGAAAAGGAAGGGAAGATGGGAAGAGCGCAAGGAAGGAAAAAGAAGGAAAGAGGGGAAGGAAGAAGAAAGGAGAAGGAAGAGGAAAGGGAAGGAAGGAGATTATAATGAGAGTGAGGGATGGCTGAGGAAAGTCCTGATTTAGTACTTGGCCACCACAGGTGCCCCTGACACGAGTGATGTTGAGCTAGCCATGCCCCCCCTGGCCACGCCCCCCCCAAAATCAAATATAACCCTGATACCGCCCTCAAGGAAATCAAGTTTGATACCCCTGTTATAGGGGGATTTGATCGGAAAGGTATTTGGCAAAATTTTGACTGAAAATGCAAATGACAATGAGCAATAAGTCCACTACTGTAGTGCTCCCATAGCTATTTGTACGAAATATCCTTTAAACAGATACAGAGATTGCTATGGCAGAGTTCCCCAACCTTTCTGGCTTTGAGGACTGGGGGGAGGGGCAAGGGGACACAGGGAATGGTTCCACACAAGCAGCAGCAACTGTGCGGGCTTACACACAGGTCCATTTGTGCAAGTGATGGAAACATCTGCCTGCCATCACACAAGTGGGGATCTGCATACACACATGCGCACCTACTGCTTCTGCGGCCCGGTTCTGAACTGCTCACAACCCAGCACTGGGCCACAGCCTGGGGTTGGAGACCCCTTTGCTATGGTATAGGCCTTATTGTACCACCCACATCCTTTTTTTTTTAATTGGCATAATTTGCCCATTTCACAGTAGTGCCTCTAAATCAGGGGTGCCAAACTCAAGGCCTGTAGGCTGGATCCATCCCATGGGATGCTTCAATCTGGCCCACGGGACTGGCCTGGAAACAGCAAAGGATTGGCCTACGGTGCCTCTGGCAGCCAAAATGGGGCACAGGGAGGCCATGCGAGCCCCCCCCATGCCCTGTTTGGCTAGCAGGTTATTTCAGGAGGCGTCCGTCCCGTCTCCCCGCCCCCCAAGCCGGCCCACAGAGGAAAACTATAATCCTGATCCAGCCCTTGAAGAAATCCAATTTGACCCCCCTGCTCTAATCAGAGAGATGCAGCATATAAAAACACAATTTAAATAATATCAAAAGAGCATAAGATAGCCAAGGTAACTAATTTAGGAAGGGCAGTGAAACCTGATGCTGAGCATGAATGTGCAGGTTAAATTTCTCTTCTACAGCATGAAATATATGAATCTGAGAAAATTTATAGTGTAGTTGTTGAAAAGTTAGGAAAAGTTTAATGCATCAGCTTGCAGTAGCCGAGGAAAAAATATAATAACTAGTTTATTCCTCAAGAGGGGACACGTGTTGTCTTTAAGGAGAATATCACCAGTATAAAACGGCCAAAATGGTGACCACAACTGTATGTATGTGTCACGTGTTGCCTATTTTAAAGGGGGAGACAATGACTATGGTGGATGACTTAGCCTTAATTCCAAATGAAGTTTTAAATTGGACTTTGAAACAAAGCATTTTTAGTGATATCTAAAAAACCAATCATTCGCCTAAAATTATTACTGCTTTTCCTGGAATTTTTTTCCCTTAGGAACAAATGCACATACATATAGTTTAAGAAATAAAAGTAGAATAGCTGCACCACACCTTTTAATTAACAGAACTAGGGATTCTGGAATTCTTTGAGGTAGTTAACTTTTCTAAACAATGTTTATAGTTTGCTTTTCTTTATAAAATAATGTTCAAGCATCTGATATTAAACAGTGTAAATGAATCTTTATTTGTTATTAAGACCCTTTCTTGCAATAAAATCCAAAGATGGGCAATACAATTCAATATATAAAGAAAGGCAGAATGTTAGCATGCAGTAGAAGTTTAAAATAATGAAAATAATTTGGCATGAAACTAAGTTTAATGTGGTTTTTAATCCAAGTATAATCTAGATAATAGCAAACATCAAATAATAACAACCTGCCACAATGGGGGGGAAGTGTGTATCATTCTTTGTCATATAATCCAAGTACAGTAGAGCAAAAGAAAAAAAAATAAATTAGAACTGAAACAAGAAAAACAAGCTGCCTGTGAAAACTTGCTTAAAAGGTTTTTCCCAATGGTGAGAAAATTACTATTATAGTAGATTGTCAGAAGATAAATGAGAAATTGTGTTACAAAGTAGACAAACAAAATTTAGCATTCACTGTAGGTCTAAAAAAATGTTCTCCAGTGGAATACAACCATGTCTTGTAATATTCCCAGCTTTCTCCAAGTTGGTATATTCCAGACATATTGTATGATGCAGGTTGTCCTTGATTTCCAACCATTCATTCATTGACTACTACAAGTTAACAATGGCACTGAAAAAAAAACCGACTTATGACCTTTGTTTTTTACACAGTTGCTAAAGGAGGAGATTGCTTTTCAAAGTATGTGGGTTGTTTTTTTTTTTTTGAAGAAACAGGGCTACTTGGTGCCCTTGGATAGGTCTGATATTTATGTATTTAATTAATTGGTATGGAATTCCATTGGAATCTATACCCTCCTGTGCAGAATAGAGGACAAACTTAGGCAGGAATTGTATGGAACGTTTTGGATCCAAACTGGAAGCAATCTCATCAGTTTGTTTAATTGACTGTTCCTATCAAGACCAAGCAAACTACTACTTTTTCCCTCTGTTTTGAAGGCAGGAGTAACACCTGCCCTTCTCCAGTCCTCTGGCAGTAAGCATATCCTCTGTGATTTCTCAAATAATCACCAAAAGAGACACCAAGGTGACATCTACACATTTCTTCAAAACTCCTTGTAACAGAGAGAACATATTGATGATAACCAGATTCTCCCTAATTAACTCCTGACTGTCTTGACTTCTTCCTTTTGTCATAGCTGGAACCAGATATAAGAAATTTGAGCAGAACAGTAAGATCTTTCCCATCTGTAATCTGCGCTATGCAAATCCATTGCAGCTCATTCTCTCCTGCAAGAAAAGCCAGGGCTTAGCATTGCCCACATGCTGTGCTCCAGATGGGTGTCCTTTGCACGCAACTGGATGTCATTTGCACACCCAGCCAGCCTGATCCAATGGATGAAGAAAATGGGAAGGGTGGTCTATCATAATAAGAGGATGCTAGCTTGGAAAGGCAGAAGTAGGCAAACAAGATTGCAGCTAAACCATTACCCTTTCTTGGTAAAATCTGCACCTGTTGAAAATCTGATCTGTCAGGTAACAACCATGATTCATCCCCACCCAAACCTAACCCAGATTCGGAGGCAGCCTGCCAGCTCTAAAAAGACTGCGTTCAGACAAGCAGGAGTTTTCCCCGCCCTTCGTTTCAGATTCAGGGGGTTTTAAGGAGAAAGGCCTGCCCGCCACCAAGCGCGCCTCCGCTGCTGAATCCCCCACCTCCCTCGCGCTCTTGCGCGCCCCCGTCAAGCTCGCTTTTCTCTGGCTCGGAGCCAAAGGCATCCCGCTTGGGTTGCATCAGACGAGACGCTCCTGCTTCTGCTGCTGCTGCTGCTGCTGCCGCCGCTGCGTCCCTTGCTAGACCAGCCTTTCGGCTCAGGATTTGCGCTCCCTCTTCAGGTGACCGATCGTGCCTGCTGGGGCAAGCGAGCGGCCGGTCCTCGGAGCTGCTCTCCCGCAAAATGCTTTCCAAAAGCAACCACTTGCTTAGGAAATTCTCGACCACAGCCAGGGTGAGTAGGAAGGTGGGGACGTGGACAGGGGCTTCGGTCTGAAGGACAGAAAAGAAGGATGCTGTCCACTCCTCTTCCTCCCTCGCCTTCCTCCCCTCCTCTCTGCCCTTTGCTACCTACCCGGCTGGAGGGCGGGCAGATGTTTCTCAAAATTGGGTTTCTGGGACAGACGCGCGTCAGGAT